CAATTGTTCACATTGCGGGCAATTTTTAGCCATTTTGGCTGGGAATTGGAGGGTGAGAGTAGTATTGTATGAAATAATATTCTCTCACCCTCCAATTCATCCTATGGCGCCGAAAAAATTTTGGTGAAATGCGACCACATTTCACCAAAATTTCTCGGCGCCATATAGAGAACTAGAGCCTGTGAGGTACTGATACTATCCATGTACCTCGCAGGCTCTAGTTCCAAGCCAAAATGGCTAAAAATTGCCCGCAATTGTTCACATTGCGGGCAATTTTTAGCCATTTTGGCTGGGAATTGGAGGGTGAGAGTAGTATTGTATGAAATAATATCTCTCACCCTCCAATTCATCCTATGGCGCCGAAAAAATTTTGGTGAAATGCGACCACATTTCACCAAAATTTCTCGGCGCCATATAGAGAACTAGAGCCTGTGAGGTACTGATACTATCCATGTACCTCGCAGGCTCTAGTTCCAAGCCAAAATGGCTAAAAATTGCCCGCAATTGTTCACATTGCGGGCAATTTTTAGCCATTTTGGCTGGGAATTGGAGGGTGAGAGTAGTATTGTATGAAATAATATCTCTCACCCTCCAATTCATCCTATGGCGCCGAAAAATTTTGGTGAAATGCGACCACATTTCACCAAAATTTCTCGGCGCCATATAGAGAACTAGAGCCTGTGAGGTACTGATACTATCCATGTACCTCGCAGGCTCTAGTTCCAAGCCAAAATGGCTAAAAATTGCCCGCAATTGTTCACATTGCGGGCAATTTTTAGCCATTTTGGCAGCCAAATTGGAGGGTGAGAGTAGTATTGTATGAAATAATATCTCTCACCCTCCAATTCATCCTATGGCGCCGAAAAAATTTTGGTGAAATGCGACCACATTTCACCAAAATTTCTCGGCGCCATATAGAGAACTAGAGCCTGTGAGGTACTGATACTATCCATGTACCTCGCAGGCTCTAGTTCCAAGCCAAAATGGCTAAAAATTGCCCGCAATTGTTCACATTCCCATCTTTTGTTGGTAAGACGAAGAATATGAAATAAATTATGAAGAAGATAATGATGAATAAAATATCACTTTTTATATTTTTGACACGTAAAGTTGTCACTTTTCTGTCAAACTGTTTTTATCGTTTTCGTATATAACATTGTAAAGTATCAAATTCACATATCAAGGGTAAGGTGGAACGCAGTGCCTCCGTACCCTTGATATGTATACTAACTTGAGTTAGCATCGGGTGGTTGCGTGATAGAATGCTTCTGTCTATGTGTGGCGTGAGTTAGCATCGGGTGGTTGCGTGATAGAATGCTTCTGTCTATGTGTGGCGTGAGTTAGCATCGGGTGGTTGCGTGATAGAATGCTTCTGTCTATGTGTGGCGTGAGTTAGCATCGGGTAGTTGCGTGATAGAATGCTTCTGTCTATGTGTGGCGTGAGTTAGCATCGGGTAGTTGCGTGATAGAATGCTTCTGTCTATGTGTGGCGTGAGTTAGCATCGGGTGGTTGCGTGATAGAATGCTTCTGTCTATGTGTGGCGTGAGTTAGCATCGGGTGGTTGCGTGATAGAATGCTTCTGTCTATGTGTGGCGTGAGTTAGCATCGGGTAGTTGCGTGATAGAATGCTTCTGTCTATGTGTGGCGTGAGTTAGCATCGGGTAGTTGCGTGATAGAATGCTTCTGTCTATGTGTGGCGTGAGTTAGCATCGGGTGGTTGCGTGATAGAATGCTTCTGTCTATGTGTGGCGTGAGTTAGCATCGGGTGGTTGCGTGATAGAATGCTTCTGTCTATGTGTGGCGTGAGTTAGCATCGGGTAGTTGCGTGATAGAATGCTTCTGTCTATGTGTGGCGTGAGTTAGCATCGGGTAGTTGCGTGATAGAATGCTTCTGTCTATGTGTGGCGTGAGTTAGCATCGGGTGGTTGCGTGATAGAATGCTTCTGTCTATGTGTGGCGTGAGTTAGCATCGGGTAGTTGCGTGATAGAATGCTTCTGTCTATGTGTGGCGTGAGTTAGCATCGGGTAGTTGCGTGATAGAATGCTTCTGTCTATGTGTGGCGTGAGTTAGCATCGGGTGGTTGCGTGATAGAATGCTTCTGTCTATGTGTGGCGTGAGTTAGCATCGGGTGGTTGCGTGATAGAATGCTTCTGTCTATGTGTGGCGTGAGTTAGCATCGGGTAGTTGCGTGATAGAATGCTTCTGTCTATGTGTGGCGTGAGTTAGCATCGGGTGGTTGCGTGATAGAATGCTTCTGTCTATGTGTGGCGTGAGTTAGCATCGGGTGGTTGCGTGATAGAATGCTTCTGTCTATGTGTGGCGTGAGTTAGCATCGGGTAGTTGCGTGATAGAATGCTTCTGTCTATGTGTGGCGTGAGTTAGCATCGGGTGGTTGCGTGATAGAATGCTTCTGTCTATGTGTGGCGTGAGTTAGCATCGGGTGGTTGCGTGATAGAATGCTTCTGTCTATGTGTGGCGTGAGTTAGCATCGGGTAGTTGCGTGATAGAATGCTTCTGTCTATGTGTGGCGTGAGTTAGCATCGGGTAGTTGCGTGATAGAATGCTTCTGTCTATGTGTGGCGTGAGTTAGCATCGGGTGGTTGCGTGATAGAATGCTTCTGTCTATGTGTGGCGTGAGTTAGCATCGGGTGGTTGCGTGATAGAATGCTTCTGTCTATGTGTGGCGTGAGTTAGCATCGGGTGGTTGCGTGATAGAATGCTTCTGTCTATGTGTGGCGTGAGTTAGCATCGGGTAGTTGCGTGATAGAATGCTTCTGTCTATGTGTGGCGTGAGTTAGCATCGGGTGGTTGCGTGATAGAATGCTTCTGTCTATGTGTGGCGTGAGTTAGCATCGGGTAGTTGCGTGATAGAATGCTTCTGTCTATGTGTGGCGTGAGTTAGCATCGGGTGGTTTCATCACAAATTTTAACCCATCCAAATCTTATTAATTATTAAAATTCTTTTACAATTTCTGATGTATTTTTTGAAAACATTTCATATGCAATATTTCTCCTTTTCTTTCCTCAAATCTTCAAATATTAATAACTTTGGATATGAAATTATTTGGATCTTTTATGAATTTTAAATGTCTTTCTTAATATCAAATCGATTAAATTATTAATATTTTCTAAATTATGCCTTAAAAATCCAAATATAAAAAATCGTAAATAAAAAATATATTTTTGATTTTTATTTTGTAAATAATCCGTTTACTAATGGACTGTATCATGAAAGTAACAAAAAATCATTATTTAACAAGATTCAAAACTGGTGCAACGAAATGCACATTGATTTTGTAGTGTAACAAAGAGAGATTTATTGTAAAAAGTACAAAATAGTATATTTATATCGTGATTAGCGTAGAAATGTATGAGTTTGGGACGGATTTCTGGTGCATTCATAACTAAAGTGATACATTGTCTGGAGCAAGTTCAGATCTTTAACTTATGGCTTGTTTGGTGCTAACTCACCCAATTTAAGTGCACTAGAGGGATTTTGTCTGTAATGAGCATGCACCTTGAGTTGTTGCTTGGTCCGTGTACGAAAGATAGTAATTTAATACTATACTCGATATAAATGTGAATTTCTAATTTTGAATTTGCGTTTTTTCCTGAAAATAGTTACAATATATGAAAGAGTTGGCAAAACTAGAGGACACGTCTTTAAGGGTTTGGCTCGTGCTTCATGTTAATATGCCGAAACTAAAATAAACGTATATTGGGGGTCGAAAATTGAGAGCTCATATCTTTAAGTGTTTATTATTAATTACTGAACTAAACAGGTTTCAAATAGAAAGAGTATAAAAGATAAGTGTTTTTCTACATGTGTTTCGATAAGAATTATAATAATTGATGGTTTTTACAGCCAAATTTATTTTATTATTTAAATTTCAATGAAAAAAGATAAGAATTTTTTAATAAAAATTTTTTATTAAGAATTTTTTTTGTAAAATTGACACTGGGATGACGATAGGGCTGGGATCTTATCCACCCCGTTCATTTGGGAAAATTGCAGATCTATACTCCAAATTTTTTTCAAAATCAAAAAAATGAGATAAAAAAATACGTTTGGAAAATTCATTTTTAGCATTTTAGGAATTTTCTCACTTTCCTTCCAAATTGACATCCTTACATATATAAATAATAACCAAAATGAAGTTATTATAAGTGGTAATTTAATTTGAATATAAAATAATCGTCATGGCCCGACCATTATTCATTAGTCAATAATGTCTCTCCTCCAAGCAGGCCGCTTCGTTGTTATGCTCCAGGGTCGCCATGCCGGTAAGAAGGCTGTCGTTCTTGCTGCTTACCCAGAAGGCACAGAAGACCGCAAGTTCCCATACGCCATCGTTATGGGCATTGAGAAGTATCCAAAGAAGGTCACAAAGGATATGCCAACAGAAGTCCTTGTTAAGAAGACACAGGTCAAGCTCTTCGTCAAGGCTGTTAACTTCAACCACGTTATGCTTACACGCCACAACGTTAAGGATGAAGACTTCTTCAAGAAGATCTCCGTAGAGAAGGTTGTTGCCGCTCTTAAGGATGCCCCAGCCAAGAAGGCTCTCCTTACAGAATACGCTGCCGTTCTCCGCCAGAAGTATCTTAACAACAAGATGGCTTGGTTCTTCAAACCACTCCAATTCTAAGCTTGGTAATTGTTAAGATCTAGATTGTTGTTTAAATGTGAGCGTCCCAAATTCGTTTTGGGCACCGGGTAGGGCAACCACTCACGCTCTATTGCAATTCTTCTTTTTTTCTCTTTTTTACAACTAATTTTTTCTGAGATTGTGCGAAAGTGAATTATGATTTCAATTTTTAATTCTGCTTTTCTTAATGAAATCACTGATGATTTGTTTTAAGAGTCTTTGGCTTGCAAAGATTTCATATTCTTTCGTTGTTTTTCAAGAGTTTGATTCCGAAAAAAAAATAATTTCGAATAAAAGAACGAATTTACTAACAGGTAATAGCATAATATAAAAATATACTTGGAATAAACTAAATAGATTGATTGTCTGTTGGTTCTGTGTACTGTTGGACGTCTAATTCTGCTGGCTTTGTAACATCAACTTTGTTTTTACGCTTTCTGCATTCGTAGATGATACAAATTGTAAGGAGAATGATTTGTTGGCAGCAGGAACAAAAGATTGGTAACCAAGTTGTCCAATTCTCTTTTTGGCCAAAAGCCATGAATGCGGTACTAATTAACCCTCCAGGAGCTTGAAGGATAAGCATAATTATTGATAATGATCCTGAATCTTTCAGTTTGCAAGTAGTAATGATTTGAGGCATCCAAATCAATACATTAATTGCAGCATTAACAATTCCGAGGGTTTTTCCAAATTTGTTGTTTCCACTTCCTGAAAAACCACTTGTTAAGCCAATGATAACAAAGATTAAGAAAGCTATGATAAATGATGCGAATAAAGATGTATTTAACACTAATATTTGGATCCTTTCGCGTTTGATCTTTATTCTATCTCTTTTTTCTCTAACTTCTTTATCAAAGTAAATCATTGTTAAACATACTACAGGAATATAGAAAAACCAAAGTAAAAATCCGTTCAAGAATGTAAATAATGTTGGTAATGTTGTAAACAGAAATTCATCAAAAATGACACCTCAGAAAAGCTAAAATATTGAATTTTTGGAACTTTTGATAGAGCACGTTTTTAAATATTAATTAAAGTGTAATAAACAGAAATTCATCAAAAGTGACAGCTCTCAATTTTTTGACATTTGTAAATTCTAAATTGAATGAGAAAAATGAAATAATACTAAGCATAATACAATATTCTAGATTTAATTATAATTAGGAAAAGTTAGTTTTGAGAGTACTTTTCATAGGCATATAGAATGAAATCTTCTGAAAAATAATATCACATAAACTCATATTATTTTCTAATATATAACTATTTTATATAAAAATCAAATTCAATGATCTTAAAAGCGAAGGATAAACCTCAAAATTTACGAATATAATGAGTGGGAATATTTCATATGGTTTTATGATAGATAAGCATTATATTCCCACTCATTATATTCGTTAATTTTGAGGTTTATCCTTCGCTTTTAAGATCATTGAATTTGATTTTTATATAAAATAGTTATATATTAGAAAATAATATGAGTTTATGTGATATTATTTTTCAGAAGATTTTGTGTTCTTCTTCAAAATTTTATTTTTTTATTAAAAAGAATCTTTACAAAATATACATTTACTTTAATTAATATTTAAAAACGTGCTCTATCAAAAGTTCCAAAAATTCAATATTTTAGCTTTTCTGAGGTGTCACTTTTGATGAATTTCTGTTTACAACAAAAGTAAATGTATATTTTGTAAAGATTCTTTTTAATAAAAAAATAAAATTTTGAAGAAGAACACAAAATCTTCTGAAAAATAATATCACATAAACTCATATTATTTTCTAATATATAACTATTTTATATAAAAATCAAATTCAATGATCTTAAAAGCGAAGGATAAACCTCAAAATTTACGAATATAATGAGTGGGAATATAATGCTTCTCTATCATAAAACCATATGAAATATCAATTTTTGCTTTACGCCTAATTTTTGACGACAATTAGCAAAAAATGTTAAATGTTAACACTCAGTCCATTTGAATATGAAAAATAAAATTGACTTTGATTAAATGTTTTTATTTATCATGCAATTCTTCTTGCGACCAAAGATTTGAATAAAAGTTCAAAAAATAAGATAGCTTAAAAAATAATATACGGTAGTGTTTACTAATAGATGAATAGTATATAAATTCTATTAAAATGGATTTGATCCAAAAAAATATAAAACCAAAAATAATTGTTATAATTTAAATGAAGAAGTAATTTAAAACGATTTTATTTATGATCAAATTTTATATATTTTTTTGGATCAAATCCATTTTAATAGAATTTATATACTATTCATCTATTAGTAAACACTACCGTATATTATTTTTTAAGCTATCTTATTTTTTGAAGTTTTATTCAAATCTTTGGTCGCAAGAAGAATTGCATGATAAATAAAAACATTTAATCAAAGTCAATTTTATTTTCATATTCAAATGGACTGAGTGTTAACATTTAACATTTTTTGCTAATTGTCGTCAAAAATTAGGCGTAAAGCAAAAATTGATATTTCATATGGTTTTATGATAGAGAAGCATTATATTCCCACTCATTATATTCGTAAATTTTGAGGTTTATCCTTCGCTTTTAAGATCATTGAATTTGATTTTTATATAAAATAGTTATATATTAGAAAATAATATGAGTTTATGTGATATTATTTTTCAGAAGATTTCATTCTATATGCCTATGAAAAGTACTCTCAAAACTAACTTTTTCCTAATTATAATTAAATCTAGAATATTGTATTATGCTTAGTATTATTTCATTTTTCTCATTCAATTTAGAATTTACAAATGTCAAAAAATTGAGAGTTGTCACTTTTGATGAATTTCTGTTTATTACAGTAATGCTTTCCAAAAACTATATTGGCATAATCCAGTGAATTGACTAGATCTCAAAGCGATGATATTCGTAATTAATAGCGTACTTGAAAAGTTGTTCATGAACACCATAAAAGGGTTCAAACCGAAATTAGATTTTCGAATGATAAGTGTTATAATCTGTGGTAGTACAGAAGCTAAAGTACCAAAAAATATAGCAGCTCCAACTGCAACCCAGATGGGTTGTTTTGATGGATAACAAGCTCCGTAATCAATGAACCCTAACCAGGAAAACTCATACCCATCAAACGTATTCATCCGAAATTTGTATAAAATTGATAATAAACCGTTGTGATCAGATTCGAAAATTATCTTTTCATTAAGTTAATGCATTTTTGAATGAAAATCTAAAATTAAAGATTTAATGGAACAAAAAAAATAGGGATGCATTAAACACGCCATTTGACCGGGCGTACATTTTTTGTTCGCCCAAAAATTTCGCCATTTGAGAAATTCAAAAATTAAAAATAAAATTTTAATCTTGATTTTTTTATTTTCGTGATTTTTTTGAAACTTACATAAGCGATGAAATACTTTTTTAAGTAATCGTTTATTATATATAAATATATCTTAATAAATTTAATTCCTTAAGGTAGAGCGTGTTCAAATTTAAAATCTCATACAATATTTTCTTAATGGCGTATTTTTCTGAGGTCGCCCAAATAAAGGCGAATTCAAAATTGAGAACTCCAAGGCGTATGGCGAGTATTCAAAATGTACGCCACTTACAAAATATTGAATGTGGATTATCAATTTTTTGGCGTGTTCAATTTCAAATTTTGATATTTGTGTTTATTTTATTCAGTATAATGCTAAGAATTAAAATATAAAATTCATAGAATTTTTTCTTTGAAAATATTTTACATTTTTATTAGACCACTCCTAGACTAGTCATCAGGTTATCCTCAGATCATCCTCAGACTACTCCTTATCAGATTACTCATCATCCTCAGACTACGCCTTAGACCCCTCCTCATCAGACTACTCCTCAGATCTTCCTCATAAGACTCCTCCTCAGATCTTCCTCCTGAGACTACTCTTCAGACTACTCCTTAGAGTCCTCCTCATCAGACTAGTCCTCAGACTACTCCTGAAACTACTCCTCAGATTATCCGCAGACTCCTCCTCAGATTATGCTCAGATTATCCTCAAACTCCTCAGATTATCCTCAGACTACTCCTCAAACTCCTCAGACTACTCCTCAAACTCCTCAAACTCCTCAGATTATCCTCAAACTACTCAGATTATCCTCAAACTCCTCAGACTACTCCTCAAACTCCTCAAATTATCCTCAGACAACTCCTGAAACTACTCCTCAGACAACTCCTCAGATTATCCTCAAACTCCTCAGACTACTCCTCAAACTACTCCTCAAACTACTCCTCAGACTACTCCTCAACCTCCTCAGATTATCCTCAAACTCCTCAGATTATCCTCAAACTCCTCAGACTACTCCTCAAACTCCTCAGACTACTCCTCAAACTCCTCAAACTCCTCAGATTATCCTCAAACTACTCAGATTATCCTCAAACTCCTCAGACTACTCCTCAAACTCCTCAGATTATCCTCAAACTCCTCAGATTATCATCAAACTCCTCAAACTACTCCTCGGTCTAATCCTCAGACTCCTCCTCAGATTATCCTCAGATTATCACTTTACATATATATATCGATAAATAAATAATTACTTATTATACTTTCTTTATTTTTTTTAATTTTAAAATAATATTAATATATCTTTCTACGTTTAATGATGAAAAGAGAAAGAGGAGTAAAAAGAGGAAAGAGAAAAGAAAGAGAGAGAAAAAAAGAGAAAGAAAGAAAGAAAGAAAAAAAAAAGGACGGCGATAATTTTGTATTGTTTTGTTATTCGGCCGAATGGCGGCTACTTCGTACCCGCCATTCGGCCCCAAAAATGGCGTATTATTCTATTTTTAAACGGTCATGGCGTAAAACCGTCGCCTCCCTAAAAAAATTGAAAAAAATTATATTTTTTCAAAATATTTCTTTCTTTTCATGAATTTTCGTATCGAAAAAATGAATTTGAAAAAGGTCAATATCTTTATTTTTATGAATAGACTTGAGAATTGATATTGTAATTAAGAAATGTTTGCAAATGTTTAATATTCAAATGCATTAGATCAAAATAAATTAAATCTTCAAGGCACATCCAGTTAATTATCTTTTAAATAAATTAATAAAACTACTTAGATGTTATAATTAAATATAGGCATTGATTTTTCATGATTGAATTAATATCTTTGAAGAATAAGAGGAATTATCTTAAATATACTAAATCTATCACGAATAAAGTATTGTCCTCAATGAAAACTTCAAATCTTCATAACCTCGAATTTGTGATTTGAAAGATTAGTAAGATTAGAAAAAATAAGTTGTGAGGATTGTGTGCTGGATTTAAAGGAGCTAATCCGCAAATCAAATCCCAAAAAATTGTCGAGCTTCTACTCTTTTTTCTAAAACTTACGATCTCTAAAAGATTACAAAGGTACATTCACTAGGCGATAACAGTAAAATGGGATGAAAATAGGATAAATAGCATCCCTATATAGTGCCTAACAATATTTATACGGGCCAATAGGGTTGTACAAACTGGCACGCCTGCTGGCACACCTTTTTTGGCCAGCTGGCACGATTTTTTTAAAAAAAAACATTAAAAAAGTCACTTTTTGCCCCATCTAATGAGATTTTTTTTACAATTTTTTTCCCCTTATTTTTCAATTTAGATATGATTTTAAGCTCTCCAATTTGAAGTTTACCTGATGTTTCTTAGTTTTTATGATAATAAAATGTTGCAAAGTTGAGTTTGGATTCAATTAATTTAAGAAAATTTTATTTTACAATGAAATTATAAGAAAGGATGTTTTTATCCTATGTCAAAGAGAATACATTTGTAGATCCCGACTTTTGACATGGTTGAAAATTCCAAAAAAAAATTCAAAATTAAAAAAAAAACTTAAAAAATATAAATTTCATGTTAAAAAATGATTTTTGAAATTTGTTTGGAAAAATAGAATGTCATATTTTTATGTTTTATTGCTATTTTTACGAAATCAATAAAATATTTGTTAATTTGGCTGAGATTATAAATAAAATCTTTCTAAATCTTGCAATTGATTGCTAAAATATGTTTTATGTATTAATTGGCATTGAGATTCGTTATAAAAGAATGCGAATTATTTTGTATGAGTAAACGTATTTTGTAAAATTTCAAATTCTCTTCTCTCATTACTTACCTTAGATCTCTCGGCTTTTAGCTCTCAGATTTCGCTCATAGAACTCAGGTTTTAGTTATGTACTCATAGATGTATCATTACTGCCCGCAGATCTCTCATTACTACCTTACTAACCAGATCTTAACTCTCATTACTACCTTACTAACCAGATCTTAACTCTCATTACTACCTTACTAACCAGATCTTAACTCTCATTACTACCTTACTAACCAGATCTTAACTCTCATTACTACCTTACTAACCAGATCTTAACTCTCATTACTACCTTACTAACCAGATCTTAACTCTCATTACTACCTTACTAACCAGATCTTAACTCTCATTACTACCTTACTAACCAGATCTTAACTCTCATTACTACCTTACTAACCAGATCTTAACTCTCATTACTACCTTACTAACCAGATCTTAACTCTCATTACTACCTTACTAACCAGATCTTAACTCTCATTACTACCTTACTAACCAGATCTTAACTCTCATTACTACCTTACTAACCAGATCTTAACTCTCATTACTACCTTACTAACCAGATCTTAACTCTCATTACTACCTTACTAACCAGATCTTAACTCTCATTACTACCTTACTCATCAGATATCTAATTATTTACATATGATTTCTCACATCTCACTCAAGTCTCATTACTTACCCTATCTTTTTAACCTTTTCTGATAATTACTGAAATAACTAAATCCTTTTTTTAGTTTAATTCTGATATTAAATTTTTAAAATCTCTTTAATTTTTTGAACTACGCCTTTAATTTGTAATTGCCGATTTCACAGATTTGAACCATTTAATAAAATAACATTATTCAACTTAATCATATCAAACATGGTAGTTTGATTTTCAGATCTACATTTTAAAAACCTCTTTATTATCTTGAGTTATACTTTTATTATATAATACCTGAGTTCATAACTGAAAACTCTTAATTAGAGTACAATATTCAACTTAATCATAACAAGATTTGTTGAATTTCAAATTTGATTTATATCTTCCATCACTTAAAACTCTCACAGCTTACAATATAAGCTAAAAAGTATATTTTCATAGTAATAAAATTAATTTATTAAATTTTTTACTTTTTCCTTTCCAAAACTAGAAAAAAAGGAAGGGAAAAGGGAAAAAGAAGAAAGAAAAGAGAAAAGAAAAAAAAGAAGAGAAAAGAAGAAAAAATAATAATGAGCATATTTATAATTGTGGTGATAGGCCGAGTGGCGTGGAAAGGGTGGAGCCCGAAGGGCGACATCCTTTCCACGCCACGAGGCCCGATTTTTGGCCACTTTTTTGATTTTGGCCGCGTGCCAGCTCCTGGCAGGCGGCCCGCAAAATTGTGCCAGTTTGTACAACCCTACGGGCCAAAAAAAATTTGGCTAGAGATTTGGCGAGTTATAAAACTTAGAAAATTGAGAGGGATTTTTATTTTTGAATTTTTTTTGGAAAGTTAAAATTGCGATTAAAAATCGATTTCCAGGAGGACTAAGCATCTCATCATATATTTAAATCGATAAAAATATTAAGTAATAGTTGAATAGTATAACAACGTGAAATTATGGCTGAATCTACAGAAAAAATGAACATATTTGACATTTTTGAAAATTCATACGTTAGATGGTGACAGACTCATAAACTATACTTTAGCTAAGATTGATATATGGTTTCAACAACACATGGTTAAAATCGTAAAAATATTTTAGATTTCAAAAAGATATATATGGTAATATAATGGAACAAAGTCAACAAATAGCATGTTAAATATGTTATAATTAACTTTTTATTAGATCCAATAGTAGATATCGAATGGTTTCCAGCTTTATGGTTAAATATTTTCTTTTCGAGCTTCTCTTTAACTGTTGTATTAAGGTTGTAAATTTTTGATGCTAGAAACTATGGAATCTTCTTTGCTGCTGCATTTTTCTTGAGAGTTCTTGCAATTTCGAATAGATCTGCGCATTGTATGAAATGGAGGCTTTAAAATATCTTGAAAACAGAATAGGACTGCTTTTCCAAAGGAATGCTTACTTGTAAATCAGAGAGTTTCAAAATTGAGAGCAAGATTATCATCATAACTTTCGATTTTGCTGCGAAAAAGGAAGACAAGTAATTAACAAATCATTTACTGTTGTTCATCAAAGAAGAAAACTTTGATAACAACTAATGATGATAAAATCAAGCTATCTTTTAATATTTTTAAATTGATAAGACATTCAAAATATTTGAATGGTTTAAAATATTTTCTTTTAATTTCTTAAGATATTATCATGATTATATAATAAAATTTAAATTTTATTCAAAAAGGCAATATTTCAAACTTTTAATTTCAAAAATCTTAATTCTGCAATAAGTGTATTTAATTGTAGCAAATTTAATGATCCTTCGTCATGCTTAGCAATTTGGAACTCATAAATTAATGATTTCTTCAAGTAAAATTCTGTATTATTTCAAAAGTCAATAATTCTCTAGTAACTTTTCTTCAAACCCTAACCATTATATTATATGTATAATGGAGAATAATTGCAAAGAAAGATAGCCGAATTTACTGGGTAGTTCTTGTGATGCGAAATAATTGCAAATTAACACCTAGTTTTAACAGCATCAATCTCTTTTTGCTCTCATTTAAATGCATTCGCACACTTTAATTTTGAAATATAAGAGTTTTGGAAATTATCAAATTTATCTGCTCAAATACTATAGATCTTCATAAGTGTTAATAGAATCATTAGCCTTACATATAGTGTTTAATATAATGATGCACATTATACTGGGATTCATTCCTTATTCATCTAGTTATTATAAGATTTACAACCCCATGAAAATTTAAAATTTTGTCAAAAATAGTGAATGTAAAGTACTCACAAAATCTAGATTGAGAGGCGGTCAATGACTTTTGAGGGGAAATTAACGCATGGAATTTAATATTATTTAGGTTGATATTCTTGCTTATTATTTCAGAAAAAAATCTTAAAAATTTCAATATGAAAATTGAAAGCAATTCAAAAAATTGCTAACATGTAAATTTTAATATCCTATGCATAATTTCATATTTTGAACATTTTTTATTTTTGTTTAAAACTTAAAATTTTGCGAATTTAATATAATTTATAAAATATAATACGTATATATATTTAAAATACACTAAATTTAATTGTTAATTGACGTTTTTGGGAATGAATTTTATCAAAACATGCCTGAATCCGAAAATTTGAAAGAACGAATTACACAATCATATATGTAGAATTCAAAATACAAACTTAAAGATTGTATACGTTTAAAATTATTCAGATTGTGTTTGATTTCCACTCATTCTGTTTCTTTTGAACTCTAACACTAACATTTCATGATGATTACATGATCCATTTATACATGGTTGAATTGTTCCAGATTCTACCAGAAAATCAATCCAAATTTCTCAATGCATTCATGTTGATTGGACAAAATTTAAAATTTATCAGCCTGTTTCCAGAGAAACTCATATATTCCCTAATGAAATGTAATTTTTGCTACATTTATTTCAATCAAATTTCAAAAAAATTGACTGCAGAGCTTGAAAAGGTGATGAATCATGTTGTTATTAGATGTACATATTAGATTTACTATTTCCAAAAACTGCTCAAATTTGAATAGTTTTTAGAAAATTTGGAATTACACTCCTTACATTATATATAATTAAATGTTTAAATTTTATTTATTTTTCCCTTTTAATTTTATAACGTGCTCTATCAAAACTAACCTCTCAATTGAAGGCCACAAAATCTAAGTAGTGAGGGTACACAAATTTTGTATGGAGTATGGTTCAATTTTTGAGAGCCTCACTACTTAGATTTTGTGACTACCTTACCTTTAAGATTACACAGGAATTCATTTCCGAAAGATCATTGGAAAAGGTGAGTGCAAATTGAGTAAGAGATAAAATAATCTTTACATCTTAGTAATCGTTCATTTTAAATTTTGAGATTTTTTCAATGTGGCCTTTGAAAAGTTTTAACAGTTCAAATCTAATTTTTATTATCAGCAATATGATTTCTAAATGAATACCCAGATGAATTATATTTAACCTCAAAAAAACCTTTATTACTAATAACCTTTCAAATTTCAACTATCTACTATAGACCCATCAAATCTCTGAATATCACTTATAAGGTTGGACCGATCAATTTAGACTCTTACTTGATTTATCGTAATGATTCGTCTCAAAAATTTGAATTTGAGAGTAATAAGGCTATAATTCTCTCACAATTGTGATGATTTCAAATTAATCATAAATTTTCTTGATGGAAGGAGATAACTTATGCCCGCACATTAGCACAGTAAAGAGAATCAGGTTCACAGAGGAAGAAGATAACATGTTGAAAGAATTGGTTCGCAACAAAAGAAACAAGACTTGGAAAGAAATTGCAGCTTGCCTTCCTGGTCGAACAGCTTGCCAATGCCGTGATAGATACAACCAGTATCTATTCAAAGAGGTTGTCAACAAGCCATGGACACCAGAAGAAGACAAAACAATTGTCGATCTTTATAAGCAATATGGCCCACACTGGGTAAAGATTTCCAAGTTCCTTCCAGGTAGAAGTGGAAACAACATTAAGAACAGATGGAACACTGCATTAACAAGTTTCCATGGAATTGCCTTCAATAATTCTAAACAGGAAAGAAGATCTAAGAAGGAAAAATGGCCACAAAATGAACAGATAGAGCAGAAGAACATGCCTGAATTACCTCCACCTTCTCCAGTTCTTCTTAATACTTACATTCCAGTTTACCAGCCAATCAGTAATCTTGGCATGAATTTATACTACCCATATGCTACATTATACAAACCAATCAATTGCTAATATAATTACACTATATTTGCAAAATTAATTTGGATTGTTTTATATTGAATTAAATATTATGTTATTATATATGTCAATTAACTCACTATTTAAATCCGAATATGATTTAAGTTACTAATAAAATTGAAATTTTTATAATACATTTTGCGAAAAGATTGAACTGACATTTCACTATACTACATCCACTAGTTAAAGAATTGTGAACGAGCAAATGGGATTTGCAAATTCTACTGCTGGAATTGTGTTTACACCCACTTCAGTAGATTATTTCACTTCATTTATTTCGAATATCATTTTCTATCCTAAAATATCAACTTTAATTAGGCAAACATTTGAGACCCACTTGGCAGAAAATTTGACAAAATCTTCGATCAAAAATAGAATTACTACATTATTACTATAACAACTTAAAGTTTACAGATGACTATAAACTATTGAATATTATGACAAATTTCAATCCGATATTCGATTCCCTACACTTAACTAATCAATATTTAGTGTACGTTGATTCAAAAAGTTCATATGCAATTGAATTCGTAAATGTTTCTTATAAAATTTTATGGAGAAAAAAACAGATGCAAACCATATATGCATTCAGATTTGCTTATGTTTATTTTAACAATACATTTTTTTAATTCAAAATTGAATCATTCATAAATGCATAATTTTACAGGTTTTTCTCCAATTACATTATATTATTAAAAGTCGCATTAATCCTGATCTGAGAACGAACAAACTTTTGTATACATTTTTTATCTCCATTAATTCCACGTTCAGATAATTCATCATTCATTTAAAATAAATGAAATGAACAATAATATTTCTCCTTCTCAATTTGATAAATATTTATTTATCGTATACAGAATTTTTTTATTTCAAAAGTATATCTGAATGAATTGGAAAGCACATTGTGGCCGCTACTGCTCCTTCTTCCCATATTACCTAATTTTTGTGTTTGTGTTCCTTGGAATATTCATTCGGAAGTATAAATATACTGTTGATAAGGTAATTCTCAATTCGGACTATGTTAAGTTCAATGATTCAGAAGATCCAACAATTATTGGACATTTGACTGATATCCACATATCAGACTTCTGGCCTGATGATATCAAATGGTTCAAAAATAACTTGTTAATTTTTAAGGAACAGATAAAACCGACGTTTACACTTATAACAGGAGATATGGTAGATAATTACTATTCAAAGAACATTCCCGGTGATAATGGGCAAATAGAAGATCAATGGAAGCAGTATAATCAAACACTGAGCTCAATTGGTTTCAAGAATGAAGAACTATTCATAATTTACGGGAATCATGATGTATATGATCTAGTAGATATGGATGATTTTCAAAAAATACCGATTAAGTACTCAAACATTTCTCCAGATTATTCATTCTCCAAAGAAAGAGGAAATGTAAGAATTATATCATTTAATCCTCATGCATTACCAAATTGTGTAGGTCCACAGGGGTATTCACCACCAATTCTCGCAAAACATGTTGATGCATTAGAAAAAGAGTTCGAAAAACCATCAGATAAGAAATATACTATATTGACTTCACATTACCCACATGAAATGTTTATCCCTGATAATGCAAAGTCCAAAAAGGGAAACAAATACACCGATCTAATGAAGAAATACAAAGTTACAGCATTTGTCAATGGACATTCCCATCCAGATAAAGTTGAAATAGTTCATTTTGCTGATACCATTGAAATTACTGGCCTCGCAACTAAAGTTTTTGGTAATTTCTCTCTAATTTCAATTGATAACGGCAGATTGAATTACCAAACGTACGATCCAGAGAAGAATAAAGGACCATATGCAATTGTAACGAGTCCAAATCCTTCCCACATATCAGCTTTCAATTTTCCAGATCAAGAATTTCCAATTAGAATTGTAAGTTTCGACAAATCAAAAGCAAGAAACTTTGTTGTATCAGGTGATGCTAAAGGAAAACTAGGGTTTGTCAGATACCTAAACACTGATAAAAGTGTTGCATTGTATCAAATGAATGCAAAATTTGATACAGGAATCCATAAAATTCAAATCTCAGGAGATATGACAGAAACAGTTACTTTCGCAGTTAATTGCGATAGTGGACCATTTGAAGAAGTTAGAAAGCACCCATATAATCCTTATTCAGGAATCGTTGGCTTCCCATTATTGTTTTTATTTAGTTTTATCATCATTTTGTGCATGTGGATTCCAATGAACTTTGTTCAGAATTCCGCAGATTATATTGTAGGGAAAGGATCAAGTCATTGCTGGCTTTGCATTATATTCTTAGGTCCTTTAGTTTATGGAAGAAGTCTAGGGCAGTTGGAGATTTGGATCAAAGTCTTTTTAACTTTTATCATTGTATGGAATATTTGTTTACCAATATGCTTCTATCACACAAACACAAAGACATCAATGTTATGGGCATGGGGATACGTTGTTAATGGATATCAAGTATTTGATGCATTCTCAGTTTTCCTTGCAGGAATTTCTATGATGGTCTTTATGCCAGTTATATTATTAGCAGGAAGTGTTTATTTAGTCATCAAAAATGACAGATGGAGAAGAAGTCAATTCTTCTTTATTATTGATTTAGTTTATACTTTTGCCATTCTTTTCTTCGGATATTCAGTTGTTATTGATAAATTTGTCAGAGATATTGCCTGGAAGTGGGAATGGCTTGGTTCTTTCCCATATATCATATTCCCATTGCTAGCATTTTTAATGTATTTACTCTCACCGATATTCTGGAAAACAGAAAAGATTGATTCAGGATCTGGTGTTGAACTTAGTGACAACAAAGATGAGAAAAGCGATGACGATAGTAGTAGCAAACCATAATTTATTTTATATTTTTCTTTCGAATAAAATAATGATTCATATATGGACCAAAATAATTCAGATGGATCTATTTCATGGTTACATTTTCAGATGAACATTCCATTCATTTTTCAAAGCAAAGGCTAACTCATTTTTGTAATCAATTGATTATGCAACAATGAGATAAATTATAATGAAACAATTTAAAATAATTTGTAACCTTGCAAATCATAAAATAAACAACCTCATGTGCCAATTTAGAGAATTGTCTCCCAAGCAAAATAGATGAGTCTTTAGAAAGAAATTATAAAATTAAGGATATAATTTATTACTTCACACTTAAAAACCATAAAAAAACTTAACCTTTCTGAAATTTTTTTGATCTCTAAATTTCCTTTCTTTCGGTAATAATATGGTAATGTAAATTATGAGTTCATGTGCGTCCATATTACAATAAATTTTCTTTTTGATGATGAGATAGATAGCTATTCTAATATTGAGAACTTGTAAGACCATAATTGCAATTCCATTTCATAAAGCGCCCACTTTCATTATTCACTTAATGTTTCATTTTTTAAGGTTTGATATTCAAAATATGATGCTATACGTTCTTCTTATTAATATGAAGTAAGAATGCACCCATAGGTATCACAACAAAAAAGAAAACTAAAAAATTGATTATGAGTAAATTATACAAAATATAAAGTGTTTTATTATAAGAATAAAAAAATTGACAATAAACTTTAATGTAAATGATAGTGTTGTTTGTATTCACCGATTCTTAATTGGCATGGTTGATCCAATTTCATCAAACTCAAGTTGCTGAAATCAATGATTTCACCTGTTCTTGGGTCAACGATGTGAGCGTTTTCAGACTTTTTAATCTGGAACTGCAAAATATTCATATCGAAGTATCTTCCATTTGGAGCCCTCACAGGCAATTCAATCAATCTGTGAGTGAATGGATCTTCAAGATCTTCATCGAAAGTAATTATTCTTCCTATATCTACTTTAACATTTTCATTACTTAGTTTGATTTCATTCATAAATTCTTCCCTTGTTTCGTAGTAAACATAATCATTGTAGATAAGTGATATTCTAGTCCAATTAAGCTTTCCTTTATCATTCATACACTTTCGAACTACATTGTTGATGCAGTTTGGAATAACAGGTGAAGTCAACATATTTCGTAAACTTCTCAAAATTGAAAAAACCGTAATTGTTGAATCATAACCTCCTCTCAATTTCTTCAACTGAATTGTTCCATCCAAAGAGACATTAGGATGTGGAATCTGGTGAATGAATCTCAATTGAGGAGCAGATAATGGATAACTATCTACAAAGTGAAGTGACAATTTAAACCACTTTTCTTCGTAAATAGAATTTTCTTCTGTTTTCAGGAAAATATTCCAATGAGAAAAATCATTTTTGTTGACGAAAACATCGACCCAATCAATAAATTCTTTCTGGCAACAGATATCTTTCATCTGTTGACGAATTGCGAATAAAGTCGAACTCAATTTTTCGAAATTTTTCTCCAATTCTTTCTCCTTTTTGTCAATTCTAGAAATTGCTTGTTCTAATGTTAATACTTCTTCATTACTCGATATCTCGGAGTCTCTAAGATTAACACCAGTAGCAAAATTCTTAAAATCAATACTATATTTGTCAGGAACTGTCACTTTTCCATATTTTCTTAACGACAAATCATAAAAACCGTCACTTGAAAAAACACTTTCCATCAAATTTTGTTCGGACCCTTTAAAGAAGAAAGCTAAGCCACCTGTAGCTTGTGACATAACAGCAGCACGACTATCACTTTCATCAATGAAAATGACATCTAAAATGATTTTGTTGTCTGTCAAAATTTTTGTCAGTTTTTGTAAACTTTCGTCACTTTTATAATGATTATCGTTGTCAATTCCATCTGTTACGACAACGATTCTTTTGTAGACATTATCGAAGTACTCACTCTTGGAAGTGATTGTTTCTGACGCAACTTTGATGGCTTCAAATAATTTTGTATCGTCGCCTAATTCAGAATCTTCATTTACAGCCATTGAAAATTCAGAGGCAATGGCGGTTAGAGGTAAAACGGTTTTTACGGTCGAAGAGAAATTGATTAATCCCCACATTGTTCCGATACCGAATTCGAAAACGTTTTTTGCCAAAATTGAAATAACTTTCTTAGCATTTTTAAGTTTGTTGCTATTTTCCATTGATCTGGATAGATCGCAACAAATTATGTTGATTTGTTTCACTTCGTTTCTTGAGTGGCCTTTGTTCTCAGAATTTTGAATGGAAGCGGTTTTAGCGATATCGATTTCTTCTTGTGAACCTGTTCTTGGGTTTATAATTAATGCAATCTTTTCGAAATCTTTGGAACTTTTGTCGTATTTCGGTTTCAAATACAGATTCATTCCATCATCAGTCTTGAAGATGCAGACTCTGCCTTTTTCGTTCAAGTCGATGACCGAGAAGACTTGGAATGTCATCTCCTTGGCCTTTTGAAGGTCTCCGGATGTAGGAAGGAACAATTTCGAATTTGATAAAAGATATTGGTCAGTGAAGTCAAGATTATAAGTGGTCAGGTGATTCAATGTATCGTAATGGTTAAGGAAATACGATTTGGACTTGTCTCTGATGAAAGGAGCGTAATAAATTTTGAATTTGTTGGTGAACTGCATGTTTTGGCTCTCGATATAGTTGAACAACATCAAGACATGGCTCCAAACAGTCATATCGTTCTGGCCAAAGATGTCATGAATTATTGTTATCAAAACATTCGAAATTGAAACGATCTGATGGTATTTGATGGATAATTTGTTCTTGATATCGTATAATCCGACAAGTGCGGGTGAGTATCTCGTGAAAATTTCGCACCATGAAATAATTTTGTCAATAATATCTGAATTTGAGTTGGAAAGTAGGCCATAGACAACAGCAGCGTATTCGTATTCGATATCATCGAGTTCTTTCATTGGAGAAAATGATGTTTTGAGTAAATCTGTTGTATCACAGATTTCATCGATTTCTTCTGTGAGAATATCGCCGATATCCACTTCGTAGTTGTCTGTATTGACTAAATCAACGTAAATATGGTGCTTTGCCTGTGGATATGCATCGAAAAATTCAAATAATGATCCTTCTCTATAGATAATGCCGGAGGGGAGCTTGACAATGATAGCATATTCTTCTATATCACTGTGTTTCTGTATTTCTGAACGGATAAACTTGATTGTTTCTCGATAATCTTGTTTCAAAATTTTGTCAGAAAGGGAAATAACGAAACCTTTTGTAATGGATGTGAAGCTTTCAGTATAGAATATCCTATATTGATCTGGTTGAAGCTTGTCGATGCTATCGAAAATTTCTTTTCGAATTGTAAGTGGTTTCATGTCTTTGTCACGGATTTGAATGATATCTGTTTCTAAAATAGAAGTGCCAATTACCATATTCGGCTCCAATCTTGATCCATACAAGGCAATATTAATATTATCACGCATTCCTAACTGATTTGATATATCTTTGATGAGATCTGCAAAGGTCCATGAGTCGTCTACGTGCCAGGATACTGGCGGGTTTTGTGGGTCAAATTCAACGTATAGACAATCCATTTTTCTTTTTCTTTTTTGATTTATAAATTTTCCATCCATTATTTTTTCCAATGAATTTTAATCCACCGAGACATTCAATAAGCACAGAGTATCTAAAATATATTTCTCAAGGGAAAAAAAACTAGTCACATTTATCCTCACTTTGACCGATTTTGGAATTTTAAAAATTTTTTCCATAACTGTGAAATTACATTATATGTCTCTCGTTACAAAAAACGATATTAGCTAATTGCTTAAAGCATTGTTTTTCATTGTCAGGCAAAATCTAACATGATTTTCTTTATTATGAATCAAATCTTTTTCAAATTGGTTGAATAAGGCTGTGGTTCTATAACAGAGCCAATAAAATAGAATGGATATATAAGATAGATTCTCATCGCAGTAAAATTTTATAAAATTACACATTAATTTAAGAAATATAATATTGTTAATGACATACACAATTTTTCTCTTCTAAGATACCATTGTATCGGCTTAAAACATTATGTTCATAAACACACATAATAAAAATTTTAATTTTTTTTAATTCATTATTAATTAACAACAATATTAATAAATTTACTTCATGAATAAATGCCTATCTAATGTCTCCTTGGTATTCTAAACAAGTTTGATAAATCATCTGTTTTTAGCTGCTTTCTTTTATACTTAAATCTGTATTCTTCTATTTTAGATAGAATTCCATTTGAATCTTTTGTTAAAAATGAAATTGTATAATAACCATTACAAGGCAATCCATTGCCTTTATATTCATATGATAATGATGACCATACGTTTTGATTTGAGTTTTGTGAGTGTATTACAACTAGATTTTTTGTTATTGGATCCATATACATTACTGAAATGCTATTTCTTGACTTGATATCTCTAAATTGAAGTTTAAAAGCTATTCTCGAATCAGAACGATTGTATGTCAAATTATTTTGAGCAGAAACAATTTTTATTTCAGGTCTAGGATATAATTTTATCTGGCTAATATTTGATTTTACACCTGTTGTAAACAGAAATTCATCAAAAGTGACACCTCAGAAAAGCTAAAATATTGAATTTTTGGAACTTTTGATAGAGCACGTTTTTAAATATTAATTAAAGTAAATGTATATTTTGTAAAGATTCTTTTTAATAAAAAAATAAAATTTTGAAGAAGAACACAAAATCTTCTGAAAAATAATATCACATAAACTCATATTATTTTCTAAAAAGAATGTATCATAATATTTGTAATTGGATTCATCAAAAGTATAATAAATTTGTACTGTTGAGTTTCCATCATTATCTGTTAATTTTAAAGAAATTTCTATTACATTATTATTTCGTGATCTCATAATAGGTTCATTCAAGTTTGTTGAATTGTTTCCATCAGAATCGATAGCAACAAATGATAATGAATGAGATCCTTTAGATAAATTCCATGGTATTACTATGAAATCAGAATAAACTTTTGTATCACTGTAATCCATAACAAAAGTTGATAATAATTCATTATCTATCATACATGATAATGTCATATTATATAATTCATCATCATCTCTAATGTTAACTTCAAATTCGACTTTTGGATTCAAAGATCTTTCAACTGATTGAGGTAAATCCTTAACTAAACTGATTGAGGGAATTGATGGTTTAAATGCGAACTCATGAGTGACATTTTCTGATTCTTTTTGATCATCATCCCTTCCATAAAACGTAATTGTGTGGTTTCCTATTGATAAATCTCTTGGAATATCAATATTTCTGATAATTCTATTTGTATTTCTTATATCTATTGTTACAAATTCAGTAAACTCTCTTTCATCTATTTTATAAAAAATTTGAATAATTCCAAATCCATCAGCATCTGTAACAGTCATGTTAATACCTAAAGATGAGCTACTACGAATCCTGATAACTTCTTTTTGTGTTGATTCTTCAATAGAAAGAACTGGTGAATTAAATTCATAATAAAATGAATATAAAATAGTACTTGATTCACCAGAATATTCATTAGAACAATATAAAGTAACTGTGTACCGATCTTCAGCAGTATTTGATGGAAAATCAATAGAAAATTCATTGATATAATTTCTATTTTCTGTAATAATGTTTGATTGTATTGAAATTCCTGATACAAAGTAGCTAATACCAAAATTACCATATCCATCTGGATCTGATGCATTGATTGATATTTTAATTTGATCAACATTTCGTTTGTAAACTATGTTTTCATAGTTTTTGGTAAATGAAATTTTAGGAGGATTCCTTACAAGTTCAAATGTTTTTTCATATGTTGTGGATCTGTATCCATATCTATCTTCTGCCCAAATTTTTATAGTATGAGATCCAGATGAGAAATCGTCAGGGATATTAATGTTGTTAGAGTAATCTTTTGGACTAGTAGAACTAACTACATAAGCATTGGCATCAGTGTAAATGGTTTCATCGTTATCAAATCTGTATTTAATGTAGAATGTAGTTGTAGATGATCGTGAATGATTTAAAGATCCACTGATTAAGAATGGCTTTGAACTAGGTCTATAACTATTAGCGATTGAAGTTATAGTTAACGATGGTTTGTAAGAAGAAGATTGATCTGTTGGAGATGGACACATTTTGAAATATAGAGTTTGACCTGGTCTAATCAATCTATTTTGCCATGAAAATGCAATTCCAGAATCTATATTCTCTAAATCAGAATAAGAATTTGAATTAGCTGTTCCACTACTCCACATTTTATTTTTTCTATCATTGTATCTACCGTACCAATATGTGTCAACACCAGGCGAATCAACTTCTCGTAATACAAAAGATAAAGTATAAGTTCCATCAGTCATTCGGAATCCAGTATTGCCATTTAGATTGTAAATAGAATTTTTATCACTATTAAATATCTGTGTATCAGTATATGTCGCAATTCCAATATAATGTGAAATTGTATCAGAGTTACAAACTTTGTATCCTATATTGGAGAACATATTTGATGAACCTGAGCTTAATATTGTTGTAATTTTACAATTTCTTAAAGTTGCAACACCTCGATTAGAACCAAGTACGTTAGTTTCATCATAGTCAACTTTAAATACTGTATAATATCCTTCATTTCCGTATGTTGTTTGTTTATCATCTATCTGGATATTGAAATTTGCAGTATTAGAGCCTGCAAAAAAGATTCTAAGACTACACATTTAAGTTATAGCTCATGTCATCACGTAGTATTTTCGTTAAATTTGTTATTCTCAGAAATATCGTTCAATTTTGCATTAAAGTAAGCATAAATTCTTGTAATTTTCGAATCATAGACGAACTAAGATTAATTTATGTATTATGGTCAAACATAATTATAATTTTGTGAATTTTGAACTTTTGTAAACATTTCTTCGACATTTAAAGGAACTATAAAAGCATTTAATTAGACCTAGAGCCTAATGACTTTAGGTCAAGATTCGATTTCAAAGATATTTGTTACAGTTTGACATTTTTGAATTTTTTCCCCACCAACCTTAATGTCAACCACACAAAAAAGTATTTGTGAAAACACTAGATTTCCCATGATAAAACAGATAAAGTTTTGTTGATAAAATGATTGTTTATTCGGCATGAATGTGACCTTGTTTAGAGATATGACCAATGATACTGACGTCGTCGTCGTCGTGGAAGGAAACAAAGTTGTCTTGTTCAGATGGAACATCGTTGATTGTGTCGCCAAGGAGTTCGAAGCGGTTGATAGCAATGCATGGAGGTTCACCAGGGCAAGCTTCGTTTTGAATAAGACGGACGTACTTAGCTTCGTATGTGTTATCAAGGTTGTATGTCTTCTCGTTGCAACGACGCATGCCTTCGTCTTTCATACGATGAATTTCTTTCCATGTCTTGTTGTCGTCTGAGATCTGAAGAGACCAGCTGTACAAACAGCATTCAACACAGTACGCGTATCCATCATCACAGCAGCATCCTGTGTAACAGCAACCACAACGGACAAAGTACCCGTTAAATTTAAACTTTTTGTTCTTCATGCTGAATGTGATGTAAGGATGTTCATCATATGTCTTATAACAATTTGAGCACCAATCATAGCGCTTGTCCCATGGGTAGATAGCGTACTCCGGCTTCGTCATTTGCAATGATCCATTAATGTTTTGTTTGGAAGAGCCGCTTACATTGTATTCAATTATCTTATCATTGTAGATTTTTGTGAAGATGCCATTTTTGAATGTAGTCCTTGATCTGATGAAAGAAACAAATAAGAAATACATTTAGAAAAAATTGACACTTTTTTTTGTAAAAAAAAGCAATGAATTTCTTTTTCCTTTACTTGAGTCATAGTAAAGAAATTGATGGTATCATGAAGAAAGTGTACAACCAGAATATTATCAATATTGATGTCAGTGGATCCTCAAAACAGCATATAAATGGATCAATGCAGATGACAAAGCCTGAATATGCAATTTATCCATGGGATAAAGATTACGATTGGTGCTCAAATTGCTATAAGACATATGATGAACATCCTTACATCACATTCAGCATGAAGAACAAAAAGTTTAAATTTAACGGGTACTTTGTCCGTTGTGGTTGCTGTTACACAGGATGCTGCTGTGATGATGGATACGCGTACTGTGTTGAATGCTGTTTGTACAGCTGGTCTCTTCAGATCTCAGACGACAACAAGACATGGAAAGAAATTCATCGTATGAAAGACGAAGGCATGCGTCGTTGCAACGAGAAGACATACAACCTTGATAACACATACGAAGCTAAGTACGTCCGTCTTATTCAAAACGAAGCTTGCCCTGGTGAACCTCCATGCATTGCTATCAACCGCTTCGAACTCCTTGGCGACACAATCAACGATGTTCCATCTGAACAAGACAACTTTGTTTCCTTCCACGACGACGACGACGTCAGTATCATTGGTCATATCTCTAAACAAGGTCACATTCATGCCGAATAAACAATCATTTTATCAACAAAACTTTATTTTTAACTAAATGTAAAAATGTATTTTATAATTTCATATTTTTAAAGCTAGAATAAGAAGGTATCAGTTATAAAACATATACATATTTTATTTTTTGATTCACAGGGAATTAAAACTTTTCCATCCTCGAATTTCATGAAAAAATTAGGGATATATTTCCCAAACATTGATTTCATATGAATTTAAATGCTTATCTACTCTTACGATTTAAGAATTTGTTTTAATCAAACATTATTCCTGGCTTCTACCGGAACATTTTTTATTGAAAATAAAGTTTCATACAAATTTATTGTCCTACTTCAAGCATCATTATTACTATTATCATTATTTTGAGAAGTATTCAAAATTATCAGAATTTCAAAAGGCTTTCAAATAATTTCAAAAGCTTTCACAATTGAAATCATTTAAATGCTTGCAATCTATTTCCATTTGTGCTCATCTGAGACATTTGATCTCAGAGATAAGTGGATTGAAGATGGAGATAATACTGTCCAGCATACATTTGGTTCTGAATACAATCAATTTATTCATACCGGATCAAAATACTATGATGTCCAAAGTTATGATAGCATGCCAGCTGTAACAGGTCAAATATACATATTTAAGACATAAATTGCTGCTTATGGCCCAGGAACTGGCACAATTTATTTTTCTTTCCGCGGTCATGATGCAAATAATAAGCAATACTACGAAGATCCATATGTATTATTCACTGATAGAAGCGGTAACTTCGTAGATTATGAAGTTCCTTTTTATGTCACAAATCCAAATATTATTAAGATATATCCAAGACTTTCAGGTATTGGTCAAGTCAATTTCAAATACAAACTATGCACAATTACAAGAGGAAGCACATTTAACTACGATCCTTCAGTATCTGATCAAATAATCGAAAATAGTCTTATTAAATTCACATTTCACAAGTCAAACTTTAAGTTTGAAGTATTAGATAAGATATCACAGCGTACTCACTATCAAGCTGATCCTTATTTAGATAGATATTTTACTCCTTCAATAATTAGAACTAATAACAAAATTAATGTTACTGTTATGCATAAAACATCATTTAATATCTCATACATCACATTTGAAGTCATAAACAATGAAGTAAGAATTGAAATTCAAGAAGAATCAAACAAACCAATTGGATTTCAATATCCAACATATTTCATTACACAATATTCTGATTCCATCATCATTCCTCATGGCGAAGGAATGGTTATTCCTGCAAACCAGAATTTAGATTTGAATCTTTTCATGTCAGGAGCAACAGGACATGGTGTTTGCATGTCATTCTATGCAGCAGCGAGATATGAAAACGAGAATATTGGTAAAGAAGGATATATTGTTATAATTGAAACTCCTGATGACGTATCAGTACAAATGACAAAAGAAAATCAATGCCAATATCATATTGTTTATCCATACTGGCATTCACAGAAGGAATTGTTTGGATACAACAGAAAACTAAGAATGGTTTTCTTCCCAGATGGAGGACACGTGAAAGCAGCAAAGATTTATAGAGATTATTCAATAGAAACAGGAAAACTTGTCACTTTTGAACAAAAAGCAGCGAAATATCCTGCATTAAAAGAAACATATAAAATGATGCAAGGTGCTCCAAATATATGGATATGGTATGATTATCAAAGGATCTATGATGAAATAAAAAATGTCTATAAATGGACAAATATTTTAGCATCAGAAACTGATGGAACAACTGTTGATTGGGCAAAAAGAAATGGTATTGTTCCTTCAAGATATGATATTTATCAAGATGCTGTTGATCCAGCACTTAAATCACAATTTGATTGGAATAGAGATTGGGTTGATGATGCTTATGCAAATGACGAACTTGTTTTGAATAAAGATGGAACAAGAAGACAAGGATGGGGCGTTTATCCAAAGAATGGAGGAAATATGATTTATGCTGGAGTTGTTTCTGATAAATATTGGCCAAAATATATGAAGAAAAAGATAAATAATGAAATGACAAATGGAATTAAAAGACTGTCTAGGTTTATTGATACAGCAACAGCAAGTGATTGGTATGAAGATTATCATGCAAATCATCCTTCAAATAGATCTTTGTCTAAACATCAAAGATATGTAACATTAAATACTTTACATGAAGATTATGGATTAATTGTTGGAAGTGAAACTGGTCATGATATGGCTGTTGGCGCTTGTGATTATTTCGAAGGAATGATGTCGTTGCCAATGTTTAGAACAAATGATCCAGGAAGAAACATGGAAAATATTGTTTATAATCCAGAAGAAAGAGCTGTAAAATATCAAGTTGGTGAGAGATACAGAGTTCCTTTGTGGAAATTAGTTTATCATGATTGCGTAATTGCTTATTGGTATTGGGGTGACTACAACAATAAGATGCCAACATTATAGCACAAGAGAGATTTGTTTAATGCTTTGTACGCTGTTCCTCCAATGTATTACATTGTTCCAAATAATTGGGATTCAATCAAATCTCAAGTTAATGCAAGTTATTGGATTGCAACTGAATCAGCAAAACAAACAATGTTTGCTCAAATGATTGACCATAAAGTGCTGAATAGTGATTGGACAGTTCAACAAACATTCTTCAGCAACAATGTCAATTCTAATGTAAACTTTGGTTCCTCTGATTTCAGAATGTCTGATGGCTACATTCTCAAAGCAGGAACTTCTCGTGTTCAAACTCCTTTCACTCCAACTCCAACTCCAAATACTCCAACACCAACAATTAAAACTCCAACACCAACAGTTAAAACTCCAACACCTACAGCTAAAACTCCAACACCTACAGTTAAAACTGCTACTCCAACATTCAAAACGCGAACCATATCACACAAAACATCAACTTTTAGAACACGAACACAGACATCGAAGCAAGCGACAGAATCCGCAACAATGAAGTTAGAAATTACAACTCAGATGTTATCATCACGTGCTAATTCTGATGAATCAAACGCTTCAAAGGAAAACGGTTCAAAAGGAATTAGTTCCAAGACATTGTTTATCATAATTTTCTGCGTTGGTGGTGTTGTCTTACTTTCTGGAATTATTGCTGTTATTGTTTCTTCCAAACACATCAAGAGGAAAGAAAACTCTGATGAAGAAAAAGATAGATCAGAGCTTGACATGTACCTTGTGTAAAGGACATCACTCCTTTCTCTGAACTTAAGTAAATAGTAACTTTTTTTATTTATTTCAGTCAAAAGTAGATTTTTTTTTCGATCATAGGAAAATTAAACTTATTTGAAAATTTTCTAAAAAATATTATAAAAAAAGTTTATTGTTTAAAAGTTGATAAGTTCGAAACCATCAGGTAAGTTATCTTTGTTACCCAATACAGTGTAAGTCCACTGAGAATTGATGAGCTGGTTGATTGATTCCTTGACTTCTTCAACAGTTGCTTTGAAAGCTGTTTCTCTGATTTCCTTCTTCTTTTCGTAAGAAATACCAATATCTAAGTCAACTTGAGCTCTGTTATGAGGAGAGAAAGGTCTGTCCAATGTCTTAGAAACAGAGAGAATTGCTCTGTCAACACTTTCTTCATCGACTTTCGCCAATGATTTGTTCATTGCGTTGATTGCAGCCTTTGTTGACTCTTTCGGAGCTCCATCTCTGTAAGAAGAGATAGAAACATAGCTGGAGTTCATTCTAGAAGTAACGTGAGCTCCGTAGCATCCCATGTTCTCTCTGAGAAGTGGTCCAATGATTTCTTGAGAAAGAAATTCAGAAGAAACTTCTGTCAAAATTGCATTCTTCGTGTAAAACTCAATTGGTGTCGAAATTCCAATGAAATTAGTCTGTGAATCAAAGGCAATAAACATCTTCTGATGCTCTTTCTGCTCAGAAATGTATTTATCTACAGAAGTGAAGTCACTTTCTGACACTTCACTTTTGCCATTATTCAATTCATTTACAAAATCTAACACTTGTTTTTGGGAAATCTTCAAATCACTTTCTGTTGCGTGAATATCAGCTCTGAAAAGTGCAGATTTCAATGCTTTCTTGTAAACTTCAGAAAAGATTTGAGAGACTTCAGAAATATTTGCTTTTGCGGCCAATTCTCTCACTTTTTGAGATTTTGTGATACCTGTTGTTAATTCAGTCAAAGCAGTCTTTCTATTGAAGAATCTAGAAGAGTGCAAACTGGCGAAATAAGAGCCAGAATCAATGATATCATCAACGACATCAGAATTCCATTTCTCAAGTAGTTCTTTCAACTTCTTTTCATTGAAGAAATTGCTTTCAACCATCATTCTCAAAATCTCAATAGTTTTTCCAAGATTTTCTTGAAGACATTTCGCTCCTAATCTTATAACTAAATTCACCTTGTCTTTGTCATTGATATCCTGCTTCACAGCTAAATATGAGAAGCAATCTGTTGCATATCTCTGCTTCATAAGTGAAAATTCTGTATCGTTAACTGAAGAAGTGCCAAGAGAATCAACACAATCAACAGCAATTGACAAAACGGTTGGATCTATGTCTTTCTCGAGAGGAATAGTACCATTGACTCTGATAGTAACAATGCCGTTGCAGCCAGATGTGACTAAATCAATATTTTTGTCACTTTTTACATCACTTTTTATTGGTTCAAGAGACAAAAATTCTTTTTTGAATTGAGGGAGTGTTTCTGTGTTTTCTCTTTCGTTTTCGATATTCGCTTTGAGACGTTTCGCTAATTCAATGATATTCTTTTTATCGTCTTCGGTCATTTCACTTTTGACTTTCTCCAAAATTTGTTTTTCTTCTTTCGTGTTTTTGTTGTTGAATTCTTCGCTTGGATTGACGACAAATAGTGTTCTGTTCTTGTTCTCAATCAATAACTTAGTAATCAAGTTTTCTAAGTATCCTTTCTGTGAAACACGTTTTGTCAAACCGTCCAAATGATCGTTCAAAAGTGACAAAACATCACAACCGTCCATCCACTGATGAATTACGTCCTCGAAGATGTTCAAGCCGTGGTTAGAGCCAATCTTCTTGGATTTGATTTTTATGTCATGTAAACCAGCTTGGATTACATCGTCAGAAATTCCATTTTTGACAATATTTTGTAAAGTGTCAAAAACAGTTTTTTCAAATTTTTCGATGTTTTCTGGTTTCATTCCTTTGAGGCCTATTGAGAATGTCAATGGTTTGAACTCTTTCGTGAAGTAGTGGTGAACGAAATTAGATCCAATTTCGGATTTGATCAAAGAATCGTAGAGAGGGGAAGCTTCTGAACCCAAAAGAATCTTCTGGAGGAGTTTGACGTCCATGCATAAGTCAATGTCAGTTCTTTTGCCGACAATCCATGTTATTGAAGATCTCGTTTGTTTTTCTGGGTCAGCAGAGGTATCTAATGGGCCATCGATGACGACTTTGCGTGGTTCATCTTGTTGTGGTGGGAAAAATGATAATCCTTTGGTTGGATCAACATTTGAAACATCAATCTTCAAAAGGAACTGGTCGATATGGTCCATGATCTTGTTTTCATCGAATGTACCGTAATGGATGATGAAACAGTTCGATGGATGGTAGTATTTGTTGTGGAATTCAACTAATTCTTCTCTTGTAAGGGTTTCGATGTCCTTTGGGAAGCCACCGTAGTTATTGGCGTAGATTGTTTTAGGAAATGTGTTGAAATTGCAGAAATCATCGAAATATTGGTCAGCTGATGAATAAACACCTTTCATTTCGTTATAAACAACGCCACAGTGCTGCAAAGGTGATTCTGGATTGTCTATTTCTGTAAATTCGAGGTGATGACATTCTGTCTTGAATGTATCTTCGTCATAAAGTGGATTGAAAACTGTATCTAAATAAACATCCATCAAATTGTGAAAATCGACCTCATTCATTGATGCTAATGGGTAACCTGTAAGGTCTGGATATGTGAATGCATTCAAAAATGTTGCTACACTCCTTTTAGCCAATTCAAAGAATAAACCAGTGACTGGATACTTCTTACTGCCATCTAATGTCATGTGTTCTGTAACGTGGGCAATGCCTTTGTCGTTTTCTGGGAATGTTCTGAAAGCAATTACGAAAGTATTGTTTGGATCATCGTTTTTAACGTTGAGAAACTGGCATCCATGCTTCTTGTGACGATAGAGATCACAATGTGCGCGGATTCCTTCTATCTCCGACTCTCCAATCTTCTCAAAACTCATGATTCTTTGGAAAATCTAAAAAGTGATTGGAAAAAGTGGCAAATTGATCAATCAAAATTTATCTCATTTCATGTCATCAAAAGATATAGCATTAACGGAAAGAAAGAACTAACTAGGAAAATAAATAAGATCTATCCGAACTATCTTCAAATTTAGGGGATCAAGATCATCAAAATTTAGAAAATATAACTTTATTTATTTCATTCATTGCAGCACTGAAATCTCCACCAGAATGTTTATATGTGATCTATAGTTTTTTGCTATTATGCAATTATAAACTAAAATATTATGTCATTATTCTTTGAAAACTAGTTAAATCTATGCTGCACGAAATACGCCGTTGATTGTGCGTGATTACAGGTAGTAGCATGGTTTTGGTTTCTTTACTTTATCATTACCAAATTATTTTTTCATTTGAAACCAAAAATTGGGTATTTTAAGCATATATCGAATAAGCTTTCATATCAGAAAGTATAATAGAAGTGTAATGCATAATTATTCTTATATTGATGATAATTTCCTTTGAGATTTAATAAAAAATAAGCGAAAATCAGTAAAAAGTTTTTCATAATCGAATTAAAGTCAAAACACTATATATTTTTATTGTAAATAAATTAATAATATAAAAATAATTCTAAATCATTGATAAGGGTTATCAATTAGTCCTTGCCGAGCAATGTTTTCTTGATTTATAGCATATGTCGGCGTTTCACTTAGAGGGACTGTTATTTCACTTTTTGGATTATAATTTGATTCAAAATCGGCTTCTTCAGCATTACAACGCATGCACAAGTTAATGAGAACATGAATTTCAACAAATAAGAGAAATACAACCCATATAAATGCGTACATAACTGGAATTACCCAAATCCTACAGAGCATATCCATAAGAAACACAGTACCTTGTTTTGTCTGCATAAATATAATATCAAAAGGATTTTTGCAACATGTAGCACAATAAATGCAAGTTGTTGGATGATTTTTATAATGTTTTTCTGCTGCGAAATATTCCTTAATGCAACTTTTGTAACAGCATTGACATGACATTCCTGACCTGTAATATCTGTTTGGATGAACTTTTGCAAGAATTCCAATCGGAATAAATAATAAAAAGCAAAATGCATAATAGCCTATAACAAAATATATTATATACTCCCAATGGAAGTGATATCCACCATATAATTTGTGATCAATCGCTGTTTGATTCGCTGGATAAAAAATTGTTTGATTTTCTGTTGGAAACATAACCAATCTCAGTCCTTTGTCATTTTCTCCGTATCTTCTGAACTGAAATCCAGCTGTTTGATTTGATTTATACTCTAAAGAAACACTGAAATATCCAATATATTCGTATTTCGTGTTAAAGTCAAGAATTTTTGTTTCTCGTTTAAAATACTGATCATATTCAGTGAAATATGCATTAACTTGAGATTTTTCTAAAGAATTTATTAAAATGTCACTATGATCAACAAGTGAAAGATAATTGTAATGACTATGTTTGTTTTCTAAGTCAGTTGTATGGTTCGATTGAACAGTATATATGTCGTTATCGATTAATGAAACAATTGTTCCTACTTTTTCATCTTTTCCGGCATAAAAACCAAAGAAAGAACCAGTAAAACGCTGAAACATATATAAATTTTCGATTGCAATCATTCCTTTTGATTTAGAGAATCCATAAATTAGTTCTGGTTCATTTCGTAGAGTTAAATTTTGTATTTCATTACCTTCTATGTAATATATGTTGTAAGGATAGTATGCTTTAGTGTAAAAAACAACTTGCCAAACATCTTTTAAATCTTCTAAACTGTAACAAATAGTTTGATGTTCTTGTATGTTAGTAGAAAATGGAAATGGATCAGCATTAGCGTAAAAAGTTAAACGAGTAATTGAAGAACATGTTATTTGAAGCATTTTTATTTATTGTCAAATTGTCAAATGCCACAAAAATTCTGAACTTACAAATTCAATTGCGGATCCCAGTAAAGATTGTTTTATTGTGAATAAGATTCTTAAACATAAATGCGATCTTTTCTATTCCTGGCATGTTCTTAATTTGTGAATTGCTTCAGAAGACAGGCAACCAGATGCAACATAGCTGCGTAGAGTGTAATCATCTGAAAATTGAGCGCTTATATACATTAGGAAGATTTATTTCCCATAAAACTTGCTTTGCACTTAAATCTCATAATCTAAGATCGCCATTATTTTATCCTGCAATTATGGAAACGTCAGATGGATCAGTCGTTTCATCCATTGATACATTCCAGCAGTCTCTTATTGTTCCTTCTGGTTTCAAGGTAGCATCAACTGGATCTTGATCACGAAAATCAATGATGCAAAATTACCATTACTAATATAGATGGTCCTGGTGCTGCACTACCGTCAATGCAGTTAAGCAACCAGATGTAATACGGCTAAGCTGAGAGTAACGAAAAAAGAAAACACAACTATTTATAAAACTTTTCTTATTTCTCTAACAAAATGTCTTTAAACCAATGATTCTATCCAGTCATTCAGTTTTTGTAAATCGCTATACATGGATATTGCTTGCTCATTGGAAATAGAACTCAGAATCTTTTTAATCCTTCTTTTACCAAATCCACGCTCTTTGAGTTTAGTTAAGATGGAATCTTTTGCAAAAGACAGCTGTGAAACCGGAATAGATAAAGTCACTTCTTGCGGAGGATAATAAGGAGCGAATTTGTCTCGATTTTCATTAGATTCACTCTTTATGCTTGGGACCATTTTTGATTTATAGAGAGCTAACTTCCGATTCAGGGCCTTTTGATGTTGACGTTCTTCTTTCATTTGGAAGTAGCTAACATAAGGTATCTTTCCTTTGAGTGGTTTATACATGGATTTTTCGAGAGCCGCTTTTGTAGCTTCCTTTGTCTTGAAGAGAACAAAGCCGACTCCATTAAGTTTTTGATTTTGATCTTGATCATTTGGCCATCCTGTATATGATCCACTCATTTTTGGTTTGCTATCAGATGGTGAATGTGAAGTACGATTAATTCTGAGCATTTCTACTTCACCGAATTGTTGGAAATATTCTCCAAATTCTTTGTCACTTATACTAGAATCAAATTCTTTGACATATAGGTCACTTATTAACTCGACGTTTGTAAGCGGCTTTTTCTCTCAATATTATTTGCTTACGTTCTTCCTTTGATTGTGCACGACCACAAACAAATTCGAACTCTCCAGATTTATGAGTCTTTTTGTTTAAACTTTCAACTGCTTTTACAGCATCTTCATGGTTTTTGAAGTTGCAAAAACCAAATTCTAAGCTAGATCCATCTTCATCAAACATTATTGCTGGATTGTCTTTTCCTGTTTCAACAAATTCTCCAAATTCTTTCATTAAATTAGCAAGATCTTTGTTACTCTTTAAAAATTTGATTGGAAGAGGATAAATGTATACATTTGTGAATATTTCTTCTGGATCTTTTTTCTCTGGTTTTTTATAGAATTCGATTTTAATTGGCTTTCCGTTTATTGAAGCACCTTCAAGATCTTCACGGGCTTTCCTTGCATCTTCAACTTCATAAAATGTTACATATCCGTAACCACGAGATTTCCCTTTTGTTAGAGGAATTTTACAAGAAACAATTTTGCCAAAATTGGAGAAAGCGTCATGAAGCTGAGATACGGAAATGCTTTCATCAAGACCACTGATGAAAAGACAGCTCTCATGTGAATTAATTATCTTTTTTGTATGGCGATCAGACCAAAGAATGCGAATTGGAATGCCATCTAATGAGGTGTAATTTACTTCATCTAAGGCGCGTTGTGCCAATTCGTGTGATTGAAATATGACAAAAGCAAAAGATTTATCTAATTTCTTATGCTGTTTGGAAAAGATCCATAGCCACGGAATAAATCTTTAACAAAAAGTTCATCAACACTACTTGGGAGATCACCAATGTAGAGTTCTCTCCATTCTGAATCCATTTTTTATAACAATTTTTTTATCATATTGAATTTAATTCAATGAGTCTTCTCAATTTTGAATTGCTAAAATAAGACAGGTTCATTTATTGAAATTTGGATTCAATATCTGGCTGCAATTCTAGCTCAAAAAAGACAATCATGTATATTTAAATTCAATCTCCAAATGCATACATGATGTATAGTTTAGGCGCTGTTATTTCGCTATAAAGCAATGTGTACATGCAATGGCTTTTGTATATAACTAACATATTTTTTTGCTGAATGAATTAATCCATATGGATTTTGAAATTTAATTTATATGAAATGCTTACTATTTAATGCATAAATGAATCAGGTATTTCAAAAAAATTATATCACAAGTTTTTTATTTACATTTTAACAAAAATTATTGATAAGGATTGTCAATTAGTGGCTGTTGAGTAACATTTTCTTCATTAACATTATAAGAAGGTGTTACACTTTGAACAGGCATAGCTTCACTGTCTTCTGGACAAAAATTGATTTCGAAATTTATTTCATCAGTATTAGAATGAATCAATAAGTTAATAAGAACATGTATTTCGACAAACAAAAGGAAAACTACCCATAAAATAACATAAAAAATTGGAATTAAGAAAACCTTGCAAACAGAATCTAAACTAAGATGTCTACCTCTAGAAGTAGTTACAAACAGCAAATCAAATGGATTCTTGCAGCACGTTGCACAATAAATGCAAGTTGTCGGATGTTGCTTGTAATGTCGCTCAGCAGCAAAATATTCTTTGATACAACTCTTGTAGCAACACTTACATGATATACCTGCCCTATAATATCTGTTTGGATGATTTTTTGCAAGAATTCCAATCGGAATAAATAATAAGAAGCAAAGTGCGTAATAACCAACTAATCCATAGACAATATACTCCCAATGGAAGTGAAATACTCCATAAAATTTGTAATATTTTGCTGTTTGATAAGATGGATAAAAAACTGTTTTATTTTCTGTTGAAGTCATAACAAAACGTAGTCCATAATTGTTTTCTCCATCACGTTTGAACTGAAGTCCGGATTTTTCATTTGAATTATATATAAAAGAAATTAAGACAACATGAAGATTATAATATATCTCATTACATTCTAATTCTTCGGTGTACCCATAATCCCTAAGAACATGATTTGCTGTAATGTTAACATGCGATTTTTCTAAAGAATTAACTATTACAGCATAGTCATTGACTAAAGAAATGTAATAATAACGATTATATTTGCTTTCTAAGTCTGAAGGATGATTTGATTGAACGGTAAATATATCTTTTTTGATTGATGAAACATGGATGTGATTCTTTTGCAAAAGATGTTGTAAACGATAAGATTGTAATTTCAAATAATAAAAAATTGTAATATTTTGTTTTCAAAATGATGCTTACAGATATGAGACATTTGTGTATCCAATATTCAGCTTTTTGTCAGTTTGACCTATATATAAAATTATCGAATAAACATTAATTTTTTCAGCCAAGATTATTGAGTTTTCTTCAGATATAGCAACAATGATGTTAATAGATTGTTAAACTGATTTCACTAATATATCACTTGATAATATTTCATTAGATTCACCAAAAGATAGGAAAAGTACATCTCGAATATTTGGGCGAACGAATATAAAAGATTTTAGCAAATATATCAATAATTTTTTACAAAATAAATAATTGCATAGGGTGTCCTTTCGAGTTTCATACATTTTTTGCGAACAGATCGAAATTCTTGAATCACAAGGAAAACAGATTTTATTTAATAGTATTCTCCAATGAATTTATCCGCTTAATATGACTCTTCAATATAAATGTTTTTAACATTTCTTAATTTTACATAATATGATTTTTAAATACGATAAAACAAATTCAAAGAATAATTTTGAGGGAACTTTTTAATTATTCTGTTATTAAATGTTTGAATACAGCTTTTGTAGGTGGAAAACATTTTATAACGTTTTCCTATTGTACTTAAATTTTGAGTTGGACTCGCAAATTGAAAAGATTTTTGTATGATCATTCAAAAATTGAATTCTGAAATAAAAGTTGTATAAATGAGAAATGATCATATCAATGATGTATAAGAGAATTTTAAATTCTTGTAAAATCATTATTAAAAACGATATTAATTCAAATTGGTATGTCATTTTTGATGTTTTTCCTCCTTAGTTTATCAACAAGTCTGGAGTTTTCTGGTTTCCAAAATTATATGATTGTATTTAATACAAGACATGTTTGGAAGAATGCAACATGGGATATCAAACAAGCAAATTATTATTATATTCATGATTGCCAATTCAATGATACTGGCGATTATGATGGATTGTCATGCATAGACTTTCAAAATGGAGATGGGAGTCAATTTATTGATGTTTATTTATGCATTGTCACATATGGAAAAGGATATTGGGGCGGAGGAATATATTTTTACGGTAATTTTGATTTTAATATAAAATTTATATGTATCTATTCTTGCAAATGTAAAGTTGCTAATGCAATTGCATATTTAGATGGTGGCTCAAAAAACAAATTCAATCTTACATACTTATCTTCAAGCCATTGTCTTATACAACGTGATCCATTATATTTGAAATATTTTCATGAATGCTCAAATAACAATGTTTCTTTTACCCCTGCTTATGATAACAGTGGAGTAGTTTGCTTGGAATCCGAATATGATAATCTCAAAATTGATTATAATTCTTTTTACAATAACACATGCCCAAAATACATTGTTTATTTTTATACAAGTAAATATAATACATTTGCAACTAATTGTAATGTTATTAATAATAAAATTGAATGGGAATCAGTAATTGTATATAATCAGGCATGGAGTTCTATTTGTCTTTATTTATTCAATTTCTATATTTATGGGAATCAAGGGAAATACGCATATTATACATATAAAACACGATCCTCAGGAAAAATATTTGTGGAGAATTGCACCGCAGATAGCCATGAATTTTCAAATAATGTATATTTTACAGGTGAGATAATAAATGTCACTGATGATGAACATCCTATATATCCATATTATGGAACTTTTGGTTGTGATGCAATCTGGCCAATAAATATTGGAAAAGAAATTCAAACACCATATGAAACTGCGTTTCAAACTGCATTCGAAACTGCACATGTTACTCCTTTTGAAACTGCACATGTCACACCTTTCGAAACTGCACATGTCACACCTTTCGAAACTGCGCATGTCACACCTTTTGAAACTGCACATGTCACACCTTTCGATACAGCACATGTCACACCTTTTGAAACTGTACATGTCACACCTTTTGAAACTGTACATGTCACACCTTTCGATACAGCACATGTCACACCTTTTGAAACTGTACATGTCACACCTTTCGATACAGCACATGTCACACCTTTTGAAACTGCACATGTCACACCTTTCGAAACGTTGATTCAAACTCCGGTGAATAACCCTGAGCTTAAAATTCCAAGTCAATCATTGTTTGAAACTCTGATTGAAACTCCGTTTGAGTCTGCTTTTCAAACACCACAAGTCACAGAAGGTGTTCAAGAAAAAGACCTTGTTTTAAATAATTCATTATCATCTACTGCAAGTTATAATGTTGTTGACGAAAGCAATCATTATATGAATACGAATGATAGTCCAAATGATTCTAATAAATTAGACAGTGGAAAATGGATTATAATTGCTGCATCATTATCTGCATTTATTATTGCTGTGATTGTTCTATCTATTTATTTATATAGGAAGAGAATATCAAAACAAAATGAATCAGATAGTGAAATCGAGATGGTAGAAGAAACAGTCATCACATCGAAAGAAAATATATCATTAACTATTGAAAATCCATTGTTCACCACACTATCAATGGTTCAGATGATCCATTCAAATCTGCATTTGAGGACTCTGAAATTGATGGTGTTTTCTATATTAATGAAAACTAATCATGCTATTGTATATATTATTGTTTGCATTTAATTATTTTCATAACTAAAGTTTGATATTAGAAACAAACCTTTTTGGCACTGAATATGTGCAAAAAAGTCAGGTAGTTTACTGAATCATATATTTATTAAATGTTCTAACAATGCTGGCTTTGATTTAAAAATGTTCGAAAATTGCTGTATACAGACAAAAACATTGCTGTAGTTTCCATTGCAGACAATATATCAAAAAGGTGGGTTATGATGTTAAGAACTACCATACCCACTATAGAATATTACAAATAAGCAAAAAAAAAACGTCAATTTTATTCCATGACAAGTATAAAATTATATAAAGGCTCAGAATCTGGGGAAAATATTACATATATGATATAATGTATAGAATCGATTTGAAAATATCATAAAAAGTATTCAAACGTTTAAATACGATAAAAAAATTCAGAAGAAATTATTTTCTCATTTTTCTGACATTTTTTGAATTAATATTTAACACTTATATTTAGCAAAAATAACTAATGGCGATCCTCTATGTTGTTTGTTTTCAAAATATTCTGATTTTTGTTTGATCCTACAAAATTTGAATCAAAGAATAAATTTATCTTAATTCATATATGATTGCATATATTATGGATATGAATATGTCAAAGTTTGTTAAATATAAAATATCAAAAACGATTTTTATTCATTTTGATAAGTCAATTTTGAAATAGAAATGCTTTTCCTCATCAGATTATCAACAAGTGGAGAGTTTTCTGGAATTCAAAATAGCCCGATTGCATTTAATACTGAAGATAAAGTACCAGAAACAGACATTACTAAAGACAATCATTACAATATTCAACATTGTCAATTCAATGATACTGGAGCATATAAAGGAAAATCATCTATTGACTTTCGCAATGGAGATGGAAGTCAATATATTGAGGTTCACTCTTGTATTGTAACATACGGACGAGGAAATTACGGTGGAGGAATATATTTCTATGGAAAATTCGATTTTGATATAAGTCATATATGTATTAGTGCCTGTTTATGTTATTGGTATAGTGCAATTGCTTATTTGAATGGTGGTGAATCCAACAAATATAATCTTACTTACTTGACATCTAATCAATGCCTTCCAGCTAAGCATCCATTGTACCTGAAGAATTTCAAGGAATATACATATAGTAACGTGTCCTTCACTCCTGCAAATGGATATACTTATGGTATTGTTCTCGCCGAATCTGTACATGATGACAAAAAATATAGTTACAACTCATTTTGTAACAATACAAGTGCCCAAGGAATAGTTTATTTTTATGATATGTCTTTTAATACAACTGCATCTAATTGTAATTGCATCGATAATGAGGCATCGTCATATTCAGTTATCATTTATGATCAAGATCGTTATATGGGAGAGCTCTATCTTCATATTGAAAATTTCTATATCTATGGAAACAAAGTTTATGATTATTATTATACTTATCATGAATATGATCATGGAAAAATTATTGTTAAAGATTGCCAAGCAGATAATCATGATTCATATTATCATGCTATATTTGTTGGTGAAAACATTAGATTAACATCAGATGAGCACCAAGAAATTCAGCATTTCTCTACATACGCATGCAATATTGCATATGATGTTGAAAACATAGAAGTTGAAACACCAATTCCATTTGAAACTCCATTTGAAACAGCGCATGTAACACCTTATTTAACAGAACATCAAACACCTTTTGAAACTGCTTTTGTTACGCCATTTCTTACAGCTTTTCAAACACCATTTGAAACGGCGCATGTAACACCATTTGTAACAGTGTTTCAAACTCCATTTGAAACTGCATTTAATACACCAGTAATCACTAATGGTTTAACACCTTTTGAAACAGCATTTCAAACAAATATTCGGACACCCTATGAAACAAATGAAAAACATGATAAACCTGAAAGCAGCTCAGTTGATGATCAAGCAGCGATAAATCAATCAATAGATAAGAATGGCAATGATGTTGGACAAAGCAGTACATCCATAATTTTAGGTGCAGATTCAAAATCTTCCAATCCAAAATTGGGAAATGAAAAGTGGATAATTATTGGAGTATTGGCTTTTATTGCAATAGTTACAATTGTAATTGTATCGATTTATTTATATAAGAGGAAGAACTCTACACGAACAGATGATTATAGTGAAACGGAAATGGTTGAAGAGACAGTGATTGTCGCAAATGATAATATATCATTTACAATTGAAAACCCATTGTTCACGACAACCATCAACGGAAGTGACGACCCTTTCAAATCAGCATTTGAAGATTCAGATGCCGACGGTGTATTCCATATAAATGAAAATTAACTTGTTTTATATAATATTATTCATGTAACATGCGATTAATGTAAAAAATTTATTGTTATTATATTACCACAAAAAGCTTGTTTAAAGTGTTGTATATTCATATTGATTTTATGCTTTATTCCTATCTCTCAAGAACATAGATTTTATTTGTTTCTTGATTCTAAATAACATAATCAAAAAATCTTTATATACGATAAAAAAATTCAGAGATTATATTCACTCGTTTTTACTGATAATAGTCATTGGATTCGAATTTTATTCATATAAATTAATTTATAACGTTTTATTATTGTATCTAAACAATTGTTTTTCCTCTCAAATTAAAAAGATTTTTGATTGACCTCACAAATATTGAAAATGTCATAAAATGTGTTTAAACTATACATCATCTAATTAGTAATTTCCGAATGAATATCAAAATTTGTAAAAGTTTAATAGAGCAGCGATACTTATTCAAATTGAAATTTTATTTTGAATTTGTTAATGTTTTCGCTTCTCTGTTTAATATCATCAAGCCTTGAGTTCACTGGGAAACAAAATGATATGATTGTATACAATACAAAAGATGTTTGGTTAAAACCACAATGGGATATCATGCAAGCAAGTTATTATTATATTCATGATTGCCAATTCAATGATACTGGTGATTATGGAGGAAAGTCATGTATAGATTTTCAAGATGGAGATGGAAGTCAATTTATCGATGTTTATTCATGCATTGTTACATATGGAAAAGGATATTGGGGTGGAGGAATATATTTTAAGGGTAATTTTGATTTTAATATAAAGAAAATTTGTATATATGCCTGCCAGTGTTTTGAATATGGAGCAATTGCTGTTTTAAAAAGCAGTGATACAAGCAAATATAATCTTACTTATTTAACCTCAAGTCAATGTCTACCGAAAATTCACCCATTATATATGAAGAACTTTCAGGAATTCTCAAGTAGTAATGTTTCTTTTACTCCTGCTCCATTAGGTACTTATGGAATAGTACGAGTCGAATCAGTTCATGCAATCAAAAAATATAATTATAATTCATTTTGCAATAACACAAGTTCCCAAAGTATTGTTTATTTCTTTGATATGAAATTTAGTACAAAGGCTACTCATTGCAATTGCCTTTATAATAAAGCCGAAACTTACTCAATTATCATTTATCATCAAAATAGTATCGTTAATGATATCAATCTACATCTAAAGAATTTCTTTATATTCGGGAACCAATTCTATAATTATTATACATATGAAGCATGGAATCTTGGGAAGATTTTTGTTGAAAATTGCTCATCAGATAATCACAAAGCTTCAAAAGCTGTTATATTTGTTGATGAGTTAGTAAATGTAACAAATGATAGTTATCCTATTTATAAATATTATGGTACATTTGCTTGTGATGTAATTCAGCCAATTGATGAAGTATCCTTTCAAACACCACTTGAAACTGCACATCAAACGCCTTTCATAACATTGGCTCAATCTCCAATGGTGAACCCAGTAATTCCAATTCCTGATCAAATTCCGCAAAAAACTCTGGTTGAAACTCCATTTCAAACTTTTTCTCAAACTCCAGATGTCACAGAACGAATTTCTAATTCTGTTGACAAAAGCAATTATTACATAAATTTAAGTGATAGTCCAAATGATTCTAATAAATTAATCAATGGAAAATGGATTATAATAGCTGCATCATTATCTGCTATCATTATTGCTGTAATTGTTCTTTCTATTTATATATATAGGAAGAGAATATCAAAACAAAATGAATCAGATAGTGAAATCGAGATGGTTGAAGAAACAGTCATCACATCGAAAGAAAATATATCATTAACTATTGAAAATCCATTGTTCACCACCACTATCAATGGTTCAGATGATCCATTCAAATCTGCATTTGAGGACTCTGAAATTGATGGTGTTTTCTATATTACTGAAAACTAATCATGTAATAATTTGTAAAAATTTCATTCTATAGCAATAAATAACATATCTTCTAGCCTTTTCAAATGATATTATTCGATTTTATTGCAAATGCAATATAAGAATACTTTGATTTAATTTCCAAAATATTGATTTGATTTTGAGAATTGAATTATTACTATTTTCCATTTTTATAGCATGCATTAACTAATCAATAGAAAATAATGCTTATTTAATATATTTAATTTTGAAATTTCGAAATTATATGAATTATGTTTCAAAAACCGATGAGTTCATATTGTGGAAAAAAATTAGTTATAATATATAGAAATTTTTATGAACAAACAAAAAATAAAATAATTATGAACTAAATTCTTGTTTTTGATCATCAATGTTGAATTTATTAGGAGGAAACTGGAGTAAAATGTTGTTTACCCATTCCTTGAAAGGATCTTTCTCTTTGACGATCTGATCAATGTGATTAAAAAGAATATTTCGTTTCCAAACTTCAATTTCTTCTGAAACAAATGAGAAATGAATATCTTTCTTTTTAGGAATTGGTTTGTCTTTGTGTTGTCTTATAATTTGGTTTTGTTCGAAGAAAACTTGGTCCAAAAACAAACCAGTGCCAATAAGACGCGGGAGAAGCCATCTGGTCTCTGTCAATGTGTCTTTTAAGTCATCTTCTGTCATCAAATGATGAGAAACAGCAAGAACAGCTGCAATCATTTTTCGAATTTGATTCAACATAAAGGAATTACCGCTGATAGTGAATAAAACATATTTTGTGCCATTCACATCAAATGGATCAGTAAAAGTGAACTCAGAAATTGTTTTAATTGATGTATGAAGTAATTCATCGGTAATATGTCTTGTATAGTTTGCGTATTGATGTCTTCCAACAAATATTGGACAAATCTTTGCTCTTAAGTAATTTAAGTGGTCGATATTTTCTGATGAAAATGTATTTACTGGTAATAAGTAATGATAGCGTCGAGATGATGCTGATTGCTGCGCGTTAAAGATAATTCCTGGTTTGACTGCTGCCCAAACTCTTATTGGAGAATTTTTGGATAATTGTTTTTGAATAAGCCTTGGTAAGTCTTTTACTTTAACTCCTTCAGGCAATACTAATCTAAATGTAGCGACTTGCTTAGCAGCATGTACGCCTGTATCGGTTCTTGAAGATTCTGACCATTTTAATGCTCCTTTAGTTCTGTTTGGACTTATTACGCCTAAATTCACTAAAGCTTCTTGTAATTCTAAAGTAACTGTTTTATCTTGATCATGCAAGCTAGAACCATGATAATTTGTGCCTAAATAACCATAACAAAGAGCAATATATGTCTGATGCGGCTTTAATTGATTTCCATATGCATCATAGAACAAGTTTGGAAACTTAGGTTGCTTTTTAATAGGATTTGCATCTTGACAAGCGATAGAATGTATCAAACCCATAATAATAATGATCCAAAATAATTGAATTATTTCACAAAAAGGAAATGAATAAATATATTAATGAAATGAAGATCAAAATATGAAAAGAGAATACGATAAGATTATAAAATACAAATTTTACATACAAAAATTCAATAAGCTATATATTAAATTAATTACTCATCTGATACTGATTGAATATCTATGTTAATTGAAGGAGAATTTGAAATTTGATTAAGATCGTGATCTTCTTGTTTGTTTTCGGTATTGGTTGTATTTTCAGTGCTGTTGTTGTTTTCCTTTTCTGGTTCTTCTTTATTCAAAACGGTTTTGCGATCATTTGAACTTAAAACTGCTTTTTCATCGTTTTCGTCAACAGAATTTACGTTTTTATCATTATTTGTGACTTTTTCACCATCATTTTTGGCTGGCTTATCTGAATCGCTTTCATCCAAATCAATATCAAATCCAGAATCTGTTTCTTGTGATTTCGGATTTGTTTCATTATTTTTTATATCGTCATGGTCTTTTTGGTTTGAGTTTTCTCGATTTTCTGATTTGATATCTGAATTATTTTCATTTTCCATGTTGTTTTGTTCAGAATCATCTTTATTATCTTGTTTAGTTATAGATTCTTCTGATTTCTCTTCATTTTGATTTTTGATCTCAGAATTATTTTCTTTTTCTTTGGATTCCTCTTTATTTGATTCATCTTTAGTATCTTCGAGGTTTAAATCTCTTGATTTTACTTCGTTTTCTTCATTATTTTCACTTTCTTTGTTTGAATCGATTTTTTCTTTTTCACTTTCACTTATTTTGATTTCAACATCTGATTTCGACTGTTCTTGTTTTGTAATTTGGTTTTCTTCTTCTTTTTCTGAGTCAGAAATTTCTTTTTTCTCTTCTTTTGTTTCTTCAAGATTTATTTCTCTTGATTTTACTTCATCTTCGTTTTGATTTTCTTTTTGTTCTTGAAGATTGATTTCATTTTCTTTTGGTTTTTCGTCTTCATCACTTTGATCATTTTCAATTTCTATATCAGAGTCAATTTCTTTTTCTGATTCGGATTTTTCTTCCTTTTCTTCATCTTTTGTTTCGTTTGTTTGTTCTTTTTCACTTTCATGTTTATTTTCTTCTTTTTCAGGTTCTGAATCATTTTTATCTTCTTCTTTGTTTTCATTTTGTGATTGTGAATTATGGTTTTCTTCTGATTTTTGTTTCTTTTCTGAATCATCATCACTTTCATCAAAATCTATTTCAACATCTGAATCAACTTTCTTGTCTTCATTTTCCACATCTGATTTCTTTTCTTCTTTCTGTTCTAAATCTTCTTGTAAATCAATTTCTCTTGATTTAATTTCTTCTTTAACAGAATCATTTGATTTTTCTTCGTTTTGTTTTGATTCATTTTGATCTTCTTTAACTTTGTTTTCTTCTTTTTCTGATCTTTCTTTATTGTCTTCAGATTCTTCTTGGATATCAATATCTCCTATTTTTTCAGAAACATTTGATTTTTCTTCTTCTTTAGTTTCTTTGTTTTCTTCCCCTTTTTGTAGATCATCGTCTTGGATATCAATATCTCCTGGATTACTTTCTTCATTATCACTTTCATCTTTTACTATTTCAACATCAGAATCAACTTTCTTTTCCTCATTTTCATCCTGATTTTCTTTAATTTCATCAGGTTTCTTTTCTTCTTCAACAGATTTATCATGATTTTCTTCAACATTTTCTTTCTTTTCTTCTTCAACAGATTTATCATGATTTTCTTCAACATTTTCTTTCTTTTCTTCTTCAACAGATTTATCATGATTTTCTTTATTTTCACCAGATTTATTTTCTTCAACTTCATTTTGTTTTTCATTATTTTCTGGTTCTATATTTTGATTTAATTCATCTTGTAAATCAATTTCTCTTGATTTAATTTCAGTGTTTTCGTTTTCTTCTTTCTTTTCTTCCTTTGTTTCTTCTTTTTCTTGTATTTCTGAATCACTTTTCTCTATTTCTATGTCAGAGTTAATTTTTTCTTCTCCTTTCTCAATTTTTTCTTCGTTGAAATCATCAATATTAACTTCGGATTTTTCTTCTTTTGATTCATTATTTTCTTCATTTTGTTTTGTTGGACTCTTATTTGCTTTGAAACTTTCAAACAGAGGATGTTCTCTTCTTCTGTCGTAATCAACATTTGTATCAATTTTCTTCTTTTTCTCTTCATCATTTTGTTTTGGAATTTCTTTCTTAATTGCATCTCGTTTGAAGATATCATTGTATACAATGTTTCTTTGGAAAGGAGGAGAGCTTTCGTATTCTTCTTCTTCGTTGTTTCTTCCTGATCTTGTTGATGATTTGTCATCAGAAAAAGCAGATCTTGATGAAGATTTCGGAACTTCTTCATCAGGAATTTCTTTGATTCTGTCTGGATCAATGATTAAATCGAGTAAAGAAGGATGTTCTTTGATTCCTCTTTGGCTGTCTGATCCATCTGATTTCGCTGACCTTTGTTCCTGTCTATCAAATGTTTCGTCTTTAGGAATAACAAGAATTAAGTCAAGAAGAGATTTGTTCTTTGGAATTCCTTTTTCTTTTCCAAATGAAGGAGTTCTCGAAACAATGTGCGGCTTCTTCTCTTCTTCAATCTTTGGTTTTTCTTTTTGTTGATTTTCTTCTTTTTCTGGATGAATAATTTCTTTATTTTCATGATTTTCTTGTGGAATTTCTTTTTCTGGATGAGGTTGAATGGTTTCTTTTGTTTGCTCTGGACTTTCTTGTGGAATTTCTTTTGTTTCTTCTTTTTCTGGATGAGGAATATTTTCTGGTTCTTTGTTTTCTTTATTTTCTGTTTGTTCATGATTTTCTTGGGGAATTTTCCTAGTTTCTTCTGGATGAGAAATATTTTCTGGTTCTTTGGGTTCATGTTTTTCTTGTGGTTCATTTTGGTTTTCTTTTGGTTGTTCTTCGGGTGATTTTTCTTCGAGTTGAGAATTTTCTTTTTCTGGTTCATTTTGTTGGTGATTTTCATGTTCTTCTGGATGAGAAATTTCTTTTTCTTGTTTTTCTGGAGAATTTTCTTCGTTTTGTTTTCCTTGTAATTCTTCTTCAGTTGGGAATATTTCTCTTGTATGAACTTCAACTGGTTTCTCATCTTCTTTCTTTGTTTCTTCTTTTTCTTCACTTGGTTCTTTATTATTTTCTTTTTGTGGATTTTCTTCTTCTTTCTTTTCTTCTGGTTTAGATAATAACTGTGTTAGTAAACCTTTTTGTTTCTTTTCCTCTTCTTCTTTATGATTTTCAAGTGGTTTTTCTTCTTTGTTTTCTTCATTTTCAGTCTGTTTTTGTTCGATTTCTCTTGGTTTGATTTCATCTTCATCACTATTTTCGATTTCAACATCAGAATCAGACTTTTCTTTCTTTTCTTCTGGTTTTGATAATAACTGTGTTAGTAAACCTTTTTCTTTCTTTTCTTCTTCTTCGCTATGATTTTCAGGAGTTTTTTCTTCTGTATGAGAATTTTCTTCTTTGTTTTCTTCATCTGGTTTTGATAATAACTGTGTAAGTAATGACTTTGGTTTTTCTTCTTCATTTTCTTCATTTTTATTAGGTTTTTGTTCAATTTCTCTTGGTTTAACATCATCTTCACTTTGATCTTTTTCAATTTCAACATCAGAATCTGATTTTTCTTTATTTTCTTCTGGTTTAGATAACAACTGAGTTAATAAACCTGCTGGTTTTTGTTCTTTGTTTTCTTCTTCATTCTTTGGTTCATTTTCTTCTTTTTGTTCTTTTTCTTCCTTTGGTTTTTCTTCTTCATCACTTTTATCTTTTTCAATTTCAACATCAGAATCAGATTTATTTTCTTCTTCTTTCTTTTCTTCATCTGGTTTTGATAATAACTGTGTAAGTAATTGTTTTGGTTTTTCTTCTTCTTTTTGATCAATTTCTTTTTCTTCAGGAGTTTGATTTTCTTTCTTTTCTTCTTCTTGTTTTGATAACAATTGACTTAAGTCAAAAGGTTTTTCTTCATCTTTCTTTTGATTTTCTTCTTCTTTTTCTGGATGAATTTCTCTTTCTTCTGATTTAGGCTGCAAAAGTTGTGAAAACAATGGCTCATTTTGTTTCTCTTCATTATTTTCATTGTTTTCTTCTTTTTCTTCTGGTTTTTCTTCAATTTTATTAACAATATTTGACAAAATTGGTTCCAAAGGCTTTTCTTCTTTATTTTCTTCTTTGTTTTGTTCTTTGTCTTGTTCTGTTTCATTATTTTCTGATTGTTTTTGTTCATTTTCTGTTGGATTTTCCGGAAGTTGGAGATCTCTTGAAACTAAGTTATTTACTTCAGGAGAGATTGCATTAAAACCAAGAACTGGTGTCTGATTCTCTTGTTTTTCTGATTTAATTTCATTTGAATTTTCATTTTGGGGCTCTTCTTTGTTTTCTGCATTTTCTTGGTTGTTCTTTTCATCACCAATTGTTTTGTCAAACAATTTATCGAATTTTTCAAGTGGTTTCTGATCATTATTTTCATCCTTCTTTTCTTCTTCGTTTTGTTTAGTTCCTTCCTGATTTCCAACTGTTTTATCGAATAAATTATCCAAAATATTTTTTGGTTTCTCTTCATTTGGCTCTAGATTTTCATTATTTAATTTGTTTTCTGATTCTGGCTTCTTTTGGTCATCTTCTTTCTCAAACAAGTTATTGAAGATGTTTATTGGCTTGTTTTCTTCTTGGTTCTCAACATTATCTGGTAAATCTGGAAGAACGTCTTCTTTGTTCGCTTCTGGGTTGATTTGAGATGGGATAGGAGACAAATTTAGCTGGGAATTGTTTTCTGAGTTCACTTTTGACTCTGGTTTAGATTTTTCGAAAACATTTGTAATTTCTTCGCGTAAATCAAGCTGCAAAGGTTTCCCTCTTCTTTTAACAGTCTTACTTCGTTTCTTTCTCTCTTCAATTTCTTGGCAATTTGAAGATGCTTTAATTTGAGTTCCATTTAATGTTGTTCCATCGAGTTCAAGGGCTGCTTGGTTAGCTACATCCTTCTCTTTGAAGGAAACAAACGCATAGTACTTGTTATCCAAGTTTTCAACTGAGATATCTTCAATTTGTCCGTAAGGAATTAAAGCAACGGCAAGTTTTCTTCTGGATACTCGTTGTTGGAACGGACCAAGAGTAAGTTTCTCTTTCTCGTCCATTAACTCTGAACTCTGAGAATACTCATTTTCATCGTTTTGTTTCAAAGCAATGAGCTGAGCCTTCTGCATTTGTGTCTCCTTCTCTAAAGCTCTTGTTCTTTCCTCAAGTTTGGACTGTCTGATGGCTAATTGCATCGTCAAATCATTTTGTTGGACACTTTCATTGTATTCCTGTTCCTTTTCGTCTAGATATCTTTGCTTTTCCGATAATTCGTCTTCTAGTTGTCTTATTTCTTCATTTTCGTCTAAACAATATTCATTACAAACCATATCAATGACATCGTCGTCTACATCGTATCCTTGAGCGATTGATGTTGCAATAGCTTTGATTTTGCGATGTTTCTCCACTGATTCGTGAACTTTTAGATGTAAATCGTCAATAAGTTCTTGTTGTTGTAAAATAAGCTGGTTTTGATCTATTTTATGTAGTTCCTCTATTCTCTCGCGAGTTATTTGTAATTGTTTTCGATCATCTTCAATATTTTTTTCCGTTATATTCTTCATCTCCCTCTGAGCATCAATATCAAATCGTAATATTTTGATATTATCATCAGAGAGCAGTTCTTGAAGAGTATTTAAGCGATTTTGTAATTCTATGCTATGATTTTTTAGATTTGCGATTTCTTCCGCTCTCTTTTTCTGAGCAGAGTTAATAGTCATTACACTTGGCTCGAATGTTCTTGATATTTGTAATCCTAATGTATCTGCTGTTGAATCTTTATACTTTTGTTGAGCAATTTCTAAATGTTCTTTTAATATTCGCACTTCATTATGCAATCCTTCGATTTCAGTTTCTAATTTGCGTGCTCTTTGCTCTTCAACATTCGCTTCTCCATATAATTGTGCTAAAGATTGATAAGATAATCTTGAATTTGGATCTGACGATTTATCTTTTTTAGGATTAACTTTAACTCGCCTTATTGATCCATCTGACTTCCTTGCAGAGTCCTCCTGCGTAAATTTCCTGTAGTTGTAGGAGGTACTCATAAAAGATGTCACTTTTTATAAATATTTGTTATTTTGCTGTCACTTTTTAAATTTGTGCTCAATTTTCATCTTGACAGGAAAAACACATTCATTGATAATTTTCAGCAATCATTTCCTAATGAAACAAGAAAACCAAACGAATTTTTCAATCAAACTTAATCATCTTCGTTCGAAAAATCAATTTTTATAAATAGCCATGTTAATTTGATAAAAATCAGCTTGTTACTCACTATAAAAACTTTACTATGCCTAAAATTAGCATTTCATGCATGAAAACACTCATGTTTACGTTATTTTAGTAAATATTTTTTGATTTTATGCAGAAAAATACAATTATTCGAAAATTCATTAGCATATTTTGTTAATATTAGTGTTTTATATCAAGATTTTCATAATTCGAAACAATTTTACTACTTTATTGCTTATTTTTTTCAAATAATTCTTTATATTTGCGAACAATTTACTAATAGTAGTGATTCTTTCATCATGTATTAGAATATTTTGATCTGAAATCATGTCTATCATTAAAATAATCTGAATCTAATTTTGAATAAGGTTTAAAAATATGACAAATAGTAAATTAAGTGTTTATTAGTGTTAAATTGCTTGTTTCTCAAGCGAAACGATTCTTTCTCTGATTAAAGATCTCATTTTTGGATCAACTTCTTTTGCATAGCATTTTTGAAGGCAATCGATGGTATGATTGCTCTTGTCTAAGAATGACAAAGCAATTGTAGCGATTGTTCCTGATTTTGTTGTTTGCTTTGTCAATATTGAAATTAATTCTTTTTCTGAGGATAAATCATCAGCAAAATCAGGACATTCATCGAATATGTTGCATAATGCAGCACATCCAATCTCTATTTGTCCCTTCTTGATCAAATTCAAGACAAATCTACGGAGATTTGAATCAAAGCAAGAATTTTTGACTTTTCTTGTGAGTTCAACAAGCAAAGAAGGACTTGTTTCTGCTAATGCAAGAGCTCTGTCAACTGAAATGTAGGAGATCAGATTTCTACAGAGACAAAGCAATTTAATGATTAAATTGTCATCGTCAATTTGATTAAGAATCTCGTTCGGACAGCTGCAGTCGAATTTTGGAGATTTCAATAAAATTTCATCCAAATTTTTCAAAATTGAGAGAGAATCTTCAGGAAAAGATCCGAAATGCTGGACAGCGAGCTCAATTACTTGCAATGGAAGTAATTGCCGGTTATTCTGATCATTTGTCAGAATATTCAAGATTTTTATCGCAATTTTTTTCTCTTCGTCGTTTAAGGTTTCAAAACTACGCACAATGAAATCTGTGAGTCTTTTCATCATTGATGATGCTCTGAAAGAGAAGAAATCAAAACCTTTAACCGAAATTTCGTTTAATATTGGTAAAAGGACGTTGAGCTTGTTCTTTGTTGAACTCAGTGCCAAAACCGATTGGCTTAATTGTTCCTGCTCATCGATTTGTGTGCGATTATCCCAACAGTAATCACTTTTTGAATATGAACCATTGTTCAAATAAACGGACTTCCAATAATTTCTCCTTTCCCTTTTCAATGAAACCCACTGGGTGTCTGACAAATCATTAATAAGCTGTGAACGTGAAAGCTTATCGAATTTGCCGCAACCTTGCATTTGATGGTTGAACAACTTTACGTAATCAACGTGATGTTGGTTTACAATAATCGTTTTATACTCTTCAGAAAATGAGTCACTTTTCCCAACGACCCATTCAATTCAATAGGCGCGAAATAAAAATAAGGATGTTTCCGTTTACTGCTGTCATATCAGATTCATCAAGATTTCGAAAAATGATAACCATATAATTGGTTATATAGCTTCAATTTATAAACTAATTTTCAATAGCCTCATTCAATTTTTTGAAAACAGTGGCTCTTGTGAGGGTTCAGAAAAATTGAATAAAAGAAAGTGTTTGAAAGGTATCATTTTATTCATTTCAATTGAATTGATTATTTCAATACTTTTATGAAGGCACCTCATGGGAACTACGCACATCACATTAATTTATTTAAGCCCCATACTAAAATAAGACTTGGTCGTACAGAATCAGCTGTTTCCTCGCGTGTCCCACCAATTTCTGTTGAAAATCCACACAAAATGTCTCCAAAGAAGCCTCATGTATATCATTCGTACCCAATTCTAATGCACCAAATATATGACGGTCTTCCAGAGCATGAACAACAGAACCAAATACCTAAACCAAACAATCCAGAGTTTAAAAATATATTTCTCCATAAATTAAATCTAGGTTGTCAAGTGTTTTCAGATATGGATCCCAATCAGCGATTAGCAAAAAGAATTGTCCTTCATCAGGTTGCCGAATGCATCATAACTTTAGGAATTGGACCATTCATTGACTCTGAAATGACTTCCAAAGTATATGAGATGATCTATGTCAACATAAAGAGACCTGTCCCAAAGTTCGAATTGAATCAATTCCTTAATTCTGATTCCGGTTGTTTTTCAGTCCCAGAATGGGAACATCTCGAATTTGTATATACCATATTTCAGATATTTTATAAGACCTTTCCAAAATTAGAATTTTGGACGACACAATTTTTTGAATCATTGATCCCATTAATTAGTTCTCGTGATACATTAGAAAGAGATAGGCTTGCTATTATTTTGTCTACGTATTATATCAATAATCCTATTCTTCTTCATGGATTTGCCCTGAAACTTGCAAAAATTATTGAAAACCATTTCATTACGCCCGATCCATGCGCTGTCTATACAGCATTAACAATCTTCTCTAATATTATTGCGTCGTCGATCGAAAACAGAAACATGGCTTTTAATCTTTGCAATAACCTATGTATTCAGTTAATCCAAAACCAGTATTTATCCATATTTATCTCTCCTTTTTCGAATCTACTGAAGATGATCCTTCCTTTATCCGAAACTTTGACACTAATTTTGTTGAACGGAATTGTGAAGTATTGGCCAGTTTCAGACCCGGCGAAACAGGTTCCAATGATTAAGTTAATCATAGCTGCACTATTCTCGAACCATAGTATGAATGATGGAGTCATATTAAAAAAAGTTTTTCTTCTCCTTGGAGAACTTTGTGACACAGAGTTCTTCAAAGTTGCAGACCAAGCATGTAAATGTCTTCAGGAAGAAGTTATTCTTGGCCTCTTAAGCAACAATTGCAGGGAAATTGTTCCTTATATAATGACACACGTCAGATCATCGTTAAAACATTGGTATGCTCCTCTCCGAGAAACAGCTCAGGTAACTCTCAGGGTATTATGCCAAATTTGCCAAGAAAGACGTTCAGATGATATAGGGTTAAATGTCAGAACATCAAATTGGGTTTCTATTGCGAGAACAGCAGCTAAAAATGATAAGTGCATTAACTTGACTAAGAAACTTGGCGAAATGTCCCAATTGTTCGGTCCTTCAAACAATTCTAATTCCCAAGAAACTTTCTGATGATTTTGAGAGGATAGCACAATTTAGATATGTGGATTTTTCGCATTCTAATGTGTTTAATGTTGTTTGGATGCATTTTTATTTTGAATAAATGTATACAGTAGTTTTTAGTTCTTATTTAGTTGTTTTACGTTAGCTACGAATCAGTATTTAATAATATGCAAATAATATTTATTTTTCGATCAACAACCGGTAGAATTATTTCTTTTCGGTGAAGTAGCCAACTATAATATTAATAAAGAAAAAAGAAATATTATTTCCTTTCTTTTGGCCGAAGTAAATTGAACATGATTCAATTAGAAAATGAATGGGGCAAGACCTAATAAGTCTTCGAAACCCATGAGTTCATATAAACGGCTAAGTGGGTGCTATATTGAGTGAGTTGTGCATGTATTTCAAGGTCCTCAATGCAATTAATTACCATTCCTTCAAGCTACATTTTTGTTTTAAATATCATTAAAAAATAATATTTTTAAGCAGAGAAGATAGTTATTCTATCACATTATTATGCATGAATACAAAGAATTAGAGGCTGAAAGTTAAAAAAAAATTAAAAAATATTAAAACCAAAAAATGGAATGAATTTTAGAATGTTTTGATTCATTCAATTAATTGAGAAATGACCATACGATATGAACAAGTAATAATAATATTTAAGAAAAAAATCAAAAATATGTATATTTAAAATAACAATTCTATTACTTATTTATACAGTACTTTCTGGATGATATTATAATTAGGAATTAGAATATTTTATTTTTTTGAAAAAAATGAATTCAAGAAGGCAATAATATATGGAATGACATCAATTTTCATATCTGATATTAGTATATGGTAGTGAATTATTCATTTCATATTGTTTAAAAAAAATATATAATAAAAATTTTGAATTTTTAAAAAAACTTTTGGTGATTCAACTATATATTTCATAGCTAAATGAAAAAAACTTATTATGAAATTAGGTAACAAAAAATAAAATATCATTGGAAAATCCTGAAAATAAAGAAGAGAAATATATTAATTTGAAATCTTTGTGTATAGGGCATAACGTTTCAATAATTGTTTCGAAATAATAAAACAGTGATTTTGAAATATTATCTAATTTTGTGTTTTTCATGTATTTTCATATGAGATATATGTATTCCTTCAGAATAAATTAAAATAGTATTGTTTATAAACGAAAATGTAATTTTCGATATCCGATATTTATGTTCAGGTATGCATTCAAAAAATTGATAAGTTTATATTTTGAGAAAACGTATAAAAAGAGTTTGTTGAAATTAAGTAAAGATCAAATAGAAATATGGTAGTTAATGCGGATTTTAAAATTTAAAGATAGAGAAATCGTACAGTCTATATTTTGTTTGGTTCAAAATAAATATGTGTATTGAAAATAGTAGGTGATAATTTGTAAAGTATTGAATAATCGCTTTGAAATATAAGGAAAAAAATTTATAATAGTTAGCATGTAAATATAATTTTAAAAAGTTTTCAAAATTATTGAAAAAATAAATGGTCCATCAATTAAGTTTTATTGTATATTTTAGATAATTAGTAATATTTACAATGAAAAATGCAATAAAAATCATGTTAAAATTTTGAGACACTTTCAAAATTTAATATAATAACGTGCTAAATGTTTTTATTTGATATTTATACATAAATCTAAATATTAAATCTATTAATATTAATTTAATTTTGAATATGAATTTTTGTTTATTCATCGGAAGGGTGATATTAATTTGAGCTTAAATTTAAAACTATCTACTTATTTTGTTTTTATCTTTCAAAATATAAATTCAGAAAAATAATATTATGTTCGGCGGGGTTATTTTATTATAATAATCAAAACTATCTTAAATATTATTTTGAATAATTATTTTTTGTGAATATCAATTTTATTTGTGAAAATTATTGTGTATATTTCAAAAAAATTGTATTCGATTTCAATATTGAATATCTAAATTGGTTCAGCTAATTGATCCCAAAGTATTTATATCAACATGTATTGTAAATATATATAACTCCAACCTATATACAAATTATTTCCAAATTTAATTGTTTTCACTCAGATATCAAATATCACATGATCAAATTATATAAATTATAGCTATACTATGAACATTCAAGCATTTAACTGGCATTCTTAATGTATTCCTTAATATTATCGATTCTTACTTTCAATATTCATGTTAATATTATAAAAAAATATACAATATTCTTTAATATTGTAAAATTAGTAATGAATTCATATTAAAATAGTTGAATCGCACGATTAATAATACATCTGTAAAGTTTTTTTAATTAAATTATTTGAAATTTTTCTGTGTAAAATTAATAATATTTGTTATTGCTCGAGTTCTTTATTGCCTGCATATACTAGTAAATTCATTTCTTCATCGTTTATGACATTTTTGTGCAAATTCACAGTAATAATTTAAAAATAAAAAAGTTTTTTCTTAGTAACAAACATATTTTATTTATAAGCATTGCTCCGATAACATTGTAGTACCTATAAATGCATCTGGCTCGTTATCGGTTTGTTAAGTTGTTCGAATAAAAACAAACCTCTTAAAATTGAGAGCGTTCAGAAAATATTTGTGAGGATTTCAGGTCTTAAATCTGGATTGAATTGAATTATAGAATTCATCGAGTGTCATTTTTTCGATTTGGAGGGAATCAAGATTATTTGGATCTTGTGGTATTCTATGATCCACAGCTATATTTTGATGGGTTCGGTATTTTCCATCTTTTTCAATATAATCTATAACTTTGTGGTATTTTAGAACGACGAGAGAAGCTCGGACACGCCTCTCATATGCTAGAGTTTTGAATAATCCATTCATCTCCTTATAAGGTTCCATCAATTTGCAAATTTCATTGAAATCATACTCTGAGACATTGTCTGTGAACAGTTTCTCGATGCAATATTCAAAGGTGTCCTTTCTCATAACCGTATCCACGATCAATTCGTTTTGTTCTTCCTCTGATTCTTCGACAGCTTCTTGAATTGGTTCACCAGGATCGGATCCGGAGCTGATTTCTTTGGTCTTTAGGTTAATCCTTTTCTGAGGTATCTTCCTTGGGGCTGAATTAAGCATCCAAGTTTCTTTTAATTTTGGTACTTTCAAAAATAAATGTCTTCCCCGTTTTTTTACTGCACAATTAAGACGGATTACACGAATGTTGGGCTCCATTGTAAACCCCCTTTCGGTGTATTTTGTTATAATATCCCATTTTTGTTTAACAAAATTTAATAATTGTTCTTCTGTTGCCTTCCCTCCATTATTTTTAATGGAATAAATGATAGCTTTCTGTATAGGTGAAGATTTTTTGCCGGAGTTTTTTCCGGTTTCTTCAAATGGATGTAAAGTATTCATAAACTCTTCTTCACCTGAATAAATTCTTGATCGCTCGGGAGCATATATCTCCGCGATATGTTGCTGCTGCTTGCGCTTTGCAATTTCAGCTGCACTAAGTCTAGCACCTTTCTTGTGCATTTAGAAAATTTATATAACTTTTTTTCTAAACTAATCAATTTCAACTTCAAATTTTAAATACAATATCAATTAAGAGGTAGGGCAACGATAGAAAATTTTTGGAAAAAAAGTTCGGAGATCTTAAACGTATCATATTCCCTGCATGGTTTGGTATCTTCCGCCATGCGTTGTGCCAAACATATTGACACTTTCCAATAATTAATTTATGGTATGAGTCACAGAGTTAGATTATAAAAAGAAAGTAAATAATTGCAATTAGAAATCATATATGTCGGAAATCAAATGTTGATGAGCAGAAACCTTTTACACATCATAAAAGAGATAAATCACTAAAGATTTGTATACATTAAAATTTGATATTTGGTGCTCGAAAACTGTCTGATGGGACTCCTCCAAAATGAACCAATCTATCGCTGAAGACCAAATTAGATGATGTGGATGGTGTATTCTCTAATTCTAACTTAGGAAGAATGGGAACAAAACGAATGACGACAACAACATGTCAAACATAGATTAAATATCTATGAATCAATAAAGTATACGTGCATTGAAGGTGATAACGATCACTTGAGGCTTATAACTCTTTGACTAAATTATGCAATAATTAAATATAATCATTTTTATATTTTTATACTGATAGTAATTAATATACTATCCTGCTTAATAAATGGTATGATCAAATTTGTTTGAAAATTTAATTATGTATATGAAACTATGTCTTCTATATAAAAATCAAAATTTTCGGACGAACCTAGATTGAACCTTTATGAAAATCTATCATTTTTGTTAATTGAGTTAATATGAATCTTTTACATATGTATATATAGCATTGATAGCTTATATAAGCATGGTTTATTCCATATTAACATATTTCTTCAGTTAAATTTGTTAATAATATCATGTAACAAATTAATTCAAGATTAGAATGTCTACAAAATGCTAACAAATAAGAACAAAATACGATTTCTCGACTTAAATTTTAATATGGAGTAGTTTTTCGTTTAAATCTAATTAAAAATGAATAAAAACTTATCTTGTACTATTTTCATTCAAAGATTTTAATAATGTAAATCATGCATTTTCATAATTCAGTACAGTTCTTTTTAGAATTAAAGTTGATGAGGATGATATTTGTGATTTAAAATAATTTGTTAATGTTCACCTTTTATTCATCACCTTGTGGTATGCCCTAAAGCAATAGCATTATCAATTCTGCTGAATTGATCAACTCAAAATTCCAAAAAAAATTCAAAATTTCAAAAACGAAATTAACCAATTTGAATTTTCACATGAAAAAATTAATTTCGAAAAAAATTTGGAAAATCAAAGTATTTGATAATTAGTCAAATAATCAATTTACATCGTTTTTACTCATAAAAAACAACTAATTTTTGATTTTGATATCATATTTGATAAATACTCATTCCAGAGTTGACGTAATGTATTAATTATTGTTAGAGATATTGCTTTCGCAGCAAAATTCTTATTTCATGAAAGAAAAAAAAAATGATTTTATTCCAACAAAAACAAGTAAACAGATGAATGGAAACGTACTATATTTTCATAAATGTAGTAATCAGCGTGTCGGCTTTTGTTTATCATGTTCGAGTCAAAATGTATTAACTTGTAATAAGAAATATTCGAAGATTATATGAAGTATTGAGCATTCTTTGTAGAAATATTTGTAATTCATTACTAACATATATAATAAAGTTGTTTTTTTTCCCTTATTGCAATAATTTTGTCTGATTTTAATAACTTTTCATGTATACGAGTTGTATGAATATGCATCATAATATGCGTAAATATACTTATTTGCGACGAATAATGTGGTTGCATAATGGAGGTGCTAAATTTTGATTTTAATATGGGGCTTTGGTATGTATAATCATGTTCTTATCTCAACGTAGGAGTATTGGTGCAATATGATTAAAATTTACGAGGTTGATCTTAAATTGAATAATTCTGGAGTATAAATCACAATGCAGCTAATTCTATGTTAAAGATAGATACAGATTGTAGTAATCAATTAGGGAGTACAAATTCATTCTTTCATTTTTGTCGTATTGAGCAGAAAGGAAGAGATCATAACCCTAGGAAAAAAAGCCCAAATTTGTCACTTTTCATAGTACGTTAAACTCAATTTGCTCGGCGAATGCCGAGCACACGTACTCATCATTCAACATAATATTCTCATTCTTTGGTTATTATAGTGCCAGACAACACAAGATTTCAAAGAATTACTTGAGTTTTCAATTAATCTTAATCCGATTTTAGATTTATCGAGAACTCCATCATCACAATCACATACTTCAGTGCGGTAACTACAATTATCCATATACAGAAGGAAGTTCTTTTCGAACAACTCATTTGGAGTCTGTTTTGGAAAGAACTTCTTTCTGTCCGACTTAATTTCATAGTTCCTGATCAACCAAAAGACAGAAAACCACACACTATCTACTTAGGAAAGGAGTTCTTTCTAAATCTTCCTTAAATTGAGATTTTACGAGAGATAACCCTTCTATTGCACTTAAAAATGAACATTTTGATATCTTTAGTATCACACATGGTCATATATAGTATTTCATCTACATGAATACATTCATCTTTCGAAGTCTCTCATTAAATGGGAGGCTTCGAAAGATGAATCGTTTTATTCATACAACTTTAAATCTCGAACACATTTAGAGAGTGAGTATATCATTTTATTCTTGTTTTGAGTTTATTCTGATTCAAAATTGCAGTGAAAACAGAAGTTCACGCATCATATCTGAATGTGAGCTCATCTATACTTATACGATCTCAATACCTCCACTCTAAGCATAAGAGGTGAAGTTATATAAAAATTATCAGATGCGTTGAAGTCTCAAAAGTATTGCCTGAATGCTTGTTTCATATTTGTCCAAGTAGTTTCAATGAATAAATGTATTGTTTTTTATAATTTCGATTTATTGTTAGAAAATATTCAATATAAACCTTTATTGTGTTATTTACATCTCATAAATTCTCTGTTTAAATCATATAAAAGCGCGTTTTACCCCTATGAATCAAGAAATTCATTCAATATTCATGGTATATTTATTAAATTTATACGATTTACTAATAATCAATATTATATCCTCATAAATAGCAATATATTTTGGTAATCTATGATAATCATATACAATATTTGAAATCAAATTTTCATTAGTTTAGGTTCCTTGTTAATAGTAAACCATTATATTTATTACTAATAATAAAATCTATGTGTCGTATTGAAATTCAATAAAATTACTTATTCGGTCCAAAAAAACAAATTAGATAAAATTTTTCGTTTTTTATGTAATTTTTGTTTTTCATTTTTCTCAAGATCCTAAGTTATGTTCTAACTTTTGACATCATATCCTATCATGCTAGGCTATATATTATAGCATATCCAAAAGGCAAGGAAATCTATCAGAGAAGCCTTTTTGACCTATCGTTGCCCTACCTCTTAGTCATACAAAACTCAAAAAAATTCTGTTTATTTTTCTCATTCTGTCTGATCATACTATACTTAAATAGATTCTTACAACCCTATTATCTTATTTAATTTTTACATTTGGGAGGTTATTTCATGATGAAATCATGCAAAATTATTAATATGCAGGAAATAACAAATCAACTCTTTAATAATTGATAGAGGTAGGGCAACGATAGGTCAAAAAGGCTTCTCTGATAGATTTCCTTGCCTTTTGGATATGCTATAATATATAGCCTAGCATGATAGGATATGATGTCAAAAGTTAGAACATAACTTAGGATCTTGAGAAAAATGAAAAACAAAAATTACATAAAAAACGAAAAATTTTATCTAATTTGTTTTTTTGGACCGAATAAGTAATTTTATTGAATTTCAATACGACACATAGATTTTATTATTAGTAATAAATATAATGGTTTACTATTAACAAGGAACCTAAACTAATGAAAATTTGATTTCAAATATTGTATATGATTATCATAGATTACCAAAATATATTGCTATTTATGAGGATATAATATTGATTATTAGTAAATCGTATAAATTTAATAAATATACCATGAATATTGAATGAATTTCTTGATTCATAGGGGTAAAACGCGCTTTTATATGATTTAGACAGAGAATTTATGAGATGTAAATAACACAATAAAGGTTTATATTGAATATTTTCAAAAATAAATCGAAATTATAAAAAACAATACATTTATTCATTGAAACTACTTGGACAAATATGAAACAAGCATTCAGGCAATACTTTTGAGACTTCAACGCATCTGATAATTTTTATATAACTTCACCTCTTATGCTTAGAGTGGAGGTATTGAGATCGTATAAGTATAGATGAGCTCACATTCAGATATGATGTGTGAACTTCTGTTTTCACTGCAATTTTGAATCAGAATAAACTCAAAACAAGAATAAAATGATATACTCACTCTCTAAATGTGTTCGAGATTTAAAGTTGTATGAATAAAACGATTCATCTTTCGAAGCCTCCCATTTAATGAGAGACTTCGAAAGATGAATGTATTCATGTAGATGAAATACTATATATGACCTGTGTGATACTAAAGATATCAAAATGTTCATTTTTAAGTGCAATAGAAGGGTTATCTCTCGTAAAATCTCAATTTAAGGAAGATTTAGAAAGAACTCCTTTCCTAAGTAGATAGTGTGTGGTTTCTGTCTTTTGGTTGATCAGGAACTATGAAATTAAGTCGGACAGAAAGAAGTTCTTTCCAAAACAGACTCCAAATGAGTTGTTCGAAAAGAACTTCCTTCTGTATATGGATAATTGTAGTTACCGCACTGAAGTATGTGATTGTGATGATGGAGTTCTCGATAAATCTAAAATCGGATTAAGATTAATTGAAAACTCAAGTAATTCTTTGAAAATCTTGTGTTGTCTGGCACTATAATAACCAAAGAATGAGAATATTATGTTGAATGATGAGTACGTGTGCTCGGCATTCGCCGAGCGAATTGAGTTTAACGT